CCGGGCTTGAACTACTATTCCTCTGGTATGGTAATCCTCCATTCATATCCATGGTTCTATTAACAAAGTTGATCTCGCTCATCTTATAAATTCATTATTTGGATTTCTCGCTTTTCACAATTCCAGACGAGCAATTAGTTGTTGATCCTTTTTCTGATTATTGCACCACCTAAACAAAACTTTTAAGCTTGTATTATTAGAATGTAAATCAATAAGAACTCAAAGTAGTGTTCTTGTTTCTATTTCTCTAAACTACTAAGTAAAACGTTTATTGTTCTATTTCTAGATTTCTAGCTTTACTATGAGTAAGAAAAGTTTTTCCTTGAATGGGCTCTTTATGCTCGCCCCGAACTACTCCACGATTACCTGCGTGGAGAAAAATAAAATTCCATGATGTAACGTTACATTGAATTTATGATTCTGCGATAATTTTGTTGAGCCATAGCCATGTCTAGGAATACATTGTACTTTTTGTCTAGTAAGGGACTGAGTTCCGCAATATTATGGTCCGGATAAATAATATCGTAGTCGGCGTCAGTTGGTATGCTACTATTTATTGTATTTTGGTAATTTTTGCATCCCGTTAGTAAGTTATGGCCTATAGTGCTGATAATGGCAGACCCTTTCACGACATTGTACTTCACATTTGTAGACAGCTTTAGTATTTTAACTTGCTTCGCGGTTACAGTGGCTAGGAGTCGCATGAACCGTTTGTTGTTGCCCTGGGAGCCACTTACAGTGATGGAGTCGACAAGAGGCCCGTCGGAAGCTTGGATGATCTCCAATATTTGTCGGGTTTGGAAACAGAGAAACTCCAAGACTAGATTGTAGCGTATTACGAGACCCATGAGGGTGGTTCCGTTGGTAACGGATTCCAAGTTGTCGGAGGAATTGAAGCCGTCTATGATCATTTCGCTCATGGAAAAGTCGTTATACGGGCTTCTGTTGCCGTACTGGTCGATGTACCAGAAGTAGCTCTTAATGAGTTCGGTGATGGTGGAATTTCTATTGACTTCAAGCGTCGCAGTTTTGTGCTCGAGTAAGGCAAATATTTCGTCAGTGTTTAAAGATGATACCACCAGGGTGTAGTTTGCAAAGAGCTGTTCGAACAACTTTCCTGTAGCCGGCTGACCAAATTCGAATATATCCAACGGTAGAGCTAGTAACTGTGAAAATGGGCCCCAAATTCCCGTAATTGGATTATATTGGGATGACGGCGTCGAAAGAATGAAGCATGTAGACGTTCCGGCAATCATAGAAAGATGGTTTTCGGCAGCAAATCCTGGTTCGATTGTAGATAACCACCCTGCATAACAATCGATGCACCCGTTAGCTACAGCTATCTTTTCTCTCAGACTGTAAGCATTCTCGTGAACGTAGCCCAAAGGAATACCTATTGGCAATAATCCTGACGTACTCAAATTAAATTCTGATCTTCCAATAGAAATATGAGAGTCAATGCCGATCTGTTTCAAAAATTGAGTTGTCCAACCCTTGATAGAGCCATCCATTGCTTCAGGCTCGGTGGGATATTCTTGCATTGGTTCAATAGGTTCAACTACATAAGGCACGAGTCCGTCTTCGTCATAGCCTCCGACCAAAAACAAGTAACTGAACCAATCATAAAGTTCAAAACACACTATATCTTTATATATATTATCTTGCAACCATTTTAACTTGGGCAATCCCATTTCCGGAATAAACTTGCCACCTACCTTAGATAAATCCTTCTCGTTCACCTTTTCATTTAAAAAGCTGGTTTGTCCAATCGATCGATTATCCATCCAGAGTATGATATCTTGTTTCCTGTCATCACCTTCGAAATTAACTGCACATGGTTTAAGATGAATTCCGCTAGCAATACTAACCTTTTCCATGACTACCATGGAACATGTTGCAGTAAAGGATATTGAAACGACTGGTTCATTCACTAATTCTTTGAGTAATGCAAGTATACACTGATAGATTTCCTGCGACGATTGAGTTATGTAGTTAGAAAATGTATCATGTTTATTGGTTTTAATCGGTTTAAAAGCCGTTTTAAAGTTGTCCGGATTGTTTAAACAGACTCTAACAGATCCTGTTCCTATATCAACTCCAATCGTAGTCATATCAATAATAAATAGTTCATATTAACAATGTTTGCGATTATGATTTGAAATTTTGAATTCGCATCAATTCACTAGCAATATTTACATATACAACGTTCGGATCAACCTAGTTCTAACGGAACTGTAGAACATATCTAAGGGCACAGACTACATTACATCACTTTTTGAAAAACAAGCATTTAAAACAATTAAAAACAAGAAGTATACAATGCATTATACAATACAGCTATAGCAAGATGTGGACCCAATTCGAGTAATTTAACCTTGGAGGGTAGCCTTGGAACCTGATTGGCTAACCCAAGACTTGACGGTGGAAGAGTCAAGAGAGCTTCCAAAGTCATCATCGACTTCAACAACATTAATTTCACCATCACTGAAGATAACAGCAGCCTTCATAGAACCAGAAGTTGGTCTTTGGAAGTAGTCAGAAGAACCACCACCACCTTGGGCTGAACCATCTTTACCTTGACCACTGTGTAAGTGACAGATTAATTCATCAGAACCAGAAGTGATGACTTCGAATAAATCTAATTCACCACAACCAGTTTTCCAACAAGAACATTCTTCGTCACCGTATTGCAAGGTTCTTGGAATCTTAGCATTCAATAACCAGATAGCTGGCATGTCGTAGTTGAAAGACGCGGAGTCAGTAGCACTTGGCATTTCGAATTCGAAAACCATGATCTTAGTGTTACCAGCGAAACCGTGGTAAGCTGGAATACCTTCTCTGTAGAAATCACAGTCGTCACCATCACACTTAGAACCGGACATGATGACGTATTCAACATTAGAATCAATGGTGGTTTCTTCTAAGGCAACAGAGCTTGATGAACCACCAGAGGCATCCTTGTTAGCATAAGATAACGAGTTACCGAAAGCAGATGACCAGACACCAGAATCAGAACCACCGTAGTAGTTTAAGAAGGTAACGTTATCAGTAGAACCTGGAGTGTAGTAAGCAACTCTTTCCCAATCACCAGCAGCGACAGAAGAGTCAGAAGATGATTCTGAAGATGATTCAGAAGAAGCACTCGAAGAAGAGGCAGATGAAGAACCTGAACCTGAACCTGAACCTGAACCACCGGTGGCAGCAGCAGAGGCAGTAGAGGTTTGAGTTGTGTCTTGTTCACCGTTGTCACCAGAACCTGCAGTGGCAGTGGTAGTGGCTAATGATGTTTGGGTGTTACCATTACCATCAACAATAACAGTTTGGGTGACTTCAACAATTTCGGTGGCTCTCTTGTGCTTGTGATGAACGTGTTTGGTGGTACATTCTTCTTCGTCTTCCCTCTTCTTATTGTTAGAACCAGAAGATGGGTAGTAAACACCGAACTGCAATAACTTCAAAGGACCTCTGAAGTGAGCAGATAATTCTTCGTCTAATGGAGCCAACTTACCAGAGAATTTTTTGGTTTCTTGACTACAAGATCCTGAGTCTTCGTCCATGGCAGTGACGTCTTTGTATGAACCAGAGTATCCAACACCTTGGTATGAAACCTTCTTGGTGGATCCTGCTTGAACAGTGGCAATGGCTGATAAAACGGCTAACAAAGCACTGGAACTAAATTTCATTTTCGATATATAATACTACTTTCGTATAGTTAAAGGAATGACTGGAGTTAGAACTTAGTATTGGGTTTTTTTAATTTCAAGAAATCTTTTGTTTTTAAAACTTTTGTAACGGATAAGCCTTATATTAATATTCGTTTTTCACAAAGGGGGAGTACTAGTATCAATGTTCTTGACGACATACAATCACTTTTCTAATTACAATCCTTGTCATGGCTTGTTAAAACAGTGTTTACAGACATATATGCACTCTGTGCAATTTTTTCACACCGCGCTTTGTCGTTACATGCATAAACGTAAATAGTCGGATTTCATATATTCTAAAATACTTAATGCACCTGATCTTCATATTTAAATGGTCCGGATATGCTGTCGCACTGGCGCGTATCTTGTGCATAGGTGCTGGTTGTGACCTCTTCCATACTCGGCATTTCCCAATTGGGCTCGTTTGTTTTAACAATGTTCCAAATTTGTATGATGTACCAGAACAACATGGCTGAAATACGAAGGCTGAATACCCATTAGAGGCGGCCTAACGATGGGTATGTATACATGGGTCAGTTTTCTTTGAAAGCTCGAAAATTATCGATAAATGGTTTCTAGCGGTTGAGGTGCCCCTTTAGTAAAATGGAAGCTCATATTGAATGCGAAGAAAGCAGGCAGAATCAAGTTGAAAAGTGTGCCTAAAGAAGCGAAAAGACACGAATCGCGTATGGCGCTTTGCAACCGATGTCATTATTGCCAAGGGCAGTTCCAAAATGCATTGCGGCTACCATAATGTCGCGGCAACCGGAATCTGAAACTCACCCCGGAAATATGTCTTGTGTTATGTAATCATATGACACCAGATGTCTGGGGCCTGGGCCCGTATTCGGCTAAATTAGCGAAGTACATTATAGTGAATGCAGTACCGAGAGCGCTTACGATCGGAAAATTTATACAAATTACCGTTAGAAGTGTATTACGTGCATAACGGCGATCTAAACGTATTGATCTGGGCTGGTCCGGACGTATATAATTCGGCACCTCATCGTATCAAAAGAATCGCATCCACGAAAAATAGAAAGATGCAGTTGATTCGATGATGTAACGGCGAGATGGGTTAAGATGCAAAGAGCGATGGATTAAAGAGCGAGAACGCATCACATACGAAATTAAAGCGGTACGAAGGAGCCTGGTGAGGATGTATGTTCGAGAAATGTAACATATGGGTGTAGAAATAGGTACCGAAAAAACCTATTACTTGTGAAGAGTGACCATGGCAATGTAGTAGTTGGAATCAATGGTTACATTGATGAATCAGTCATGACGACTGATCCAATGTTAAGGTGGAGAATAAATGGCTTCGCCATTATAGCTGTAGAGTGTACTGTATCAGACAACGACAACGGAAAAGTCTAGATGGGAACTGCGGTTCTGATGCCCCGATGGAACATTATGCATTTAGCCGTTAGAATATGTATATGCAATACTCCGGTGGTCATTACGTTTTACCATTCGATAGAATCATCTATCGTGCAGCAGTTGTGGATATATATCTGTACCCGATATGAAAGGCAACATAAATGAATTGCATAAACGGTAAATCAAACCATTTCTGAAAAATTTTCAGATTTTTGCAATCTTTTGCAATCTTTTGCAATCTTTTGCAATGAATGGTATAATCTAGACTCAAAAATCTCGGCAATATGATCCTATGAGGTAATACGTCAGCATTGATCTAGACCTGAGTAGTACCTGATGAGCATATATATATACCCTAGGATATGCTGCTCATTAACAACGCTCTTACAAAGTCTGAACTGATTTCTATAATGTCATCCATACACCCACGTATTTATCGGACCCGAGAGAACATCATTACACCCATATTTAACTAATTCAGCCCACCTCGATTACATAATGTAGATAAAAACACAACACTCTATTTATACCTAGAATGCCAATATGACAAACAAACAACTATGAACACTTTGTTTTATAAGGTTTGTTTCCACGAACAGTATTTCTACATAGTCCGGTATGTCTAAACGGTTTTCAGTATTGAGTAAGCCTGCGGAGGCAGAAGAATCGTCGTTCAATCCTTATGATAATGTCAAGAGAATATCGCAGATTGAGAAGCAGAAGAAAGAATTTAACCAACGATACAACTCACCAAGAATTATAATCAGGGATGATCCTGTGATACCTAATTATCCTCTCGTAGACGGATTTAAGAAACATGCGAACTATAATATGAAAATCGTAGTCGTGGGCGATGGTGGTTGCGGTAAGACATGCTTGCTTGTATCATATGTCCAACAGAAGTTCCCCGAGATATATGTACCCACAGTGTTCGAAAATTACGTCGCTCATATTTCCACCCCGACTAATAAGATAATAGAATTGGCACTTTGGGATACGGCAGGACAAGAGGAATACGACAGGTTGAGACCGTTGTCGTACCCGGATGTCGATGTGTTGTTGATTTGTTTTTCTTTGGATAATTTGACGTCTTTACAAAATGTCAAGGATAATTGGTTCCCTGAGGTATCGCACTTTTGTCCTGGAATCCCAATAGTATTGGTTGGAACCAAGGCAGATTTGCCAACTACTATAGACCCAGATTTACCCATTCAATTGGCTACAGAGATCAATGCCGTAGGATATATCCAATGTTCGGCCAAGACCATGTTTAATATCAAAGCTGTGTTTAACTTTGCATTGAACCATTTCCAGAAGCAAATGGAGTACCATGAACAAGTAGAGAAATCGCAAAAGAACAGATTATCGAAAGCCTTTGGTCACTCCAGAAGTCAATCAGGGAACTCATATAAGAAGCACCACTACAAGAACTCGTCATTGGACTCTGCCATGTTATTGGATGGACCTTTAACAGAAGATAATTTTACCGAAAATCCTTATGGAAACTTTGGTAATGAAAGCAAGTATAATGAAGACGAATTTGCATTTACAAGGACGCTGAAAAAGAAAAAGAGGAAGTGTATTATTTTGTAATTTACATAGTTATTTATTGTCATCACATACATTAGAAGATACGTTCTGGTGTAAAACCTAGAAATTAGAAATCAAATAATAATAATAATAGGAGCAATGAAAAATTACAATACGCTCCGCGTTATGCTCTTGAAAATAATCTCGTTAAATATCTTGTTATCATAATATTGATTAGGTTCTTGAATAGATTAGTATGTCGTCAATACCCGACAATTTAGGACCAACCAAGAGAAGTACGACATCAACCTCCACATCCACTAGTCCAAGTTCAACTGAAAATGAATTAAATACACTTCACTCAAATCATTTGAACGATGCTGGTAATAAGTCAAACGATCATTACAAGTCAAAATTATCGCCATTACGTTACAAGCTAAGGACATTATGTTTGCCAATTATAAGAAAGGAAACTGAAATATTGGCCAATATGCAAAAGAAAGTTCGACATCCCGTTCTAGACTTCTACTTTGCATGGACAGCAAATTTAGCATCACATACATTCTACGTACTCATGTTACCATTGCCAATTTGGTTTGGTGCTAGTACATTGTCAAGAGACTTATTAGCAGTTTTGGGACTCGGCATTTTCGTTACTGGTAATTTGAAGGACTTCCTATGCTTGCCTAGACCGAGGTCCCCACCACTTCATAGAATTACCATGTCATCATATACGACACAGGAATATGGGTTTCCATCGAGCCATAGTGCCAATGCAACGGCCGTTACATTGGTATTACTTGCAAAGCTTTTTGAGTTTCAAGACACACTTGAACCCTTGACAAAAGTTAGTATTTTTTGCTTTTTGATTATCTATTACTTTTCGCTTATATTCGGTAGACTTTATTGTGGTATGCATGGGTTCTTCGATGTATTTACTGGATCAGTTATCGGGATTCTTTTGTTTTTGTTTAGATTTTTAGTTGGCAGACAATGGGACCAATGGTTATTAGCTACTCATAATGAAACTGCTTTGGGGTTGATATTTACTCCATTATCCATTATAGCAGGATACATACTTTTGATACACTTTCACGTTGAGCCTGTGGATGACTGTCCATGTTTTGATGATTCTGTTGCGTTCATCGGTGTGTTGATAGGTGTTGATATATCGCATTGGTTATTGAGTATTACTAATTATTTGACATATAAGAACCCATTTGAGGATCCCATCATTGTCAGGTATGATTTCGATGAATTTGGCTTAGCCAAATCGATTATTAGAGTCATTATGGGTGTGACGTTTGTCGTCATTTGGAAGACAATTTCAAAACCTGTCATCTTTACAGTTTTACCACCAATTTATAAGTTCATCGGGGTTTACTTACCTAGAAAGAATTATCAGCCCACTGCATTTTCGAAAAAAACTACTAGACAGATTAGATCGCAATCTTTATCGAACATGAAGGGATCACAGTCAATTGGTGACATTAATACTTTCATTAAAGGTGTCACTGACCACAATCAAATAGACGAAGTTGGACCTGAAAATGACATTGATTATTATGAAATGTTAGACTACGAAAAGAAATCGGGACACGAAAACTCGTCAAAGACCGTCCAGCCGATAAGCGGTGTTTTCAAATCAAGATATGACGTAGAGATTGTTGGTAGATTAATTATCTACGCTGGTGTTTCTACGACAGCAATTTGGGGCTTTGCCTTTGGAACAGAATTATTTGGAATAAACTAAGTTGGCTATATATTTATGTATGTATGTAATAGTATTTTTACATTCTTTCATTATTTCATTCATTCGTCGTCATAAAATTTATCTGGGGAAGTCGCAGAGATACTTTTTTTTGTTTTTGGATGTGATGCTAACGAAGTAAATATAAGGATAAAGCAAAGAATGTTTAATACCAATGGATGGCTCATATAATAATGACCATCGAGTTTATAATCAGTTAAGTCCACTTGAAAGTTCCAATACTGTAAATGCTATTTTCTCGCAAATAAATCAATTGAATAACCACTTTACTAATTATCAGATAAGTAACAATAAAAAAATTGAATCCATTAATCAGAAGGTAGATTTCCAATTCAATGCAATTAATGAAAAACTAGAAGGCTTATCAAAACAGGTGAATGACTTAGGTAGGAAAATATTGACACCTGCTAAAGATAGCACGCATAGAAATGATGATAAAGTATTGGAAATATTCAACAAGCATATTAATAAATTAAGTAACGATATCCAAGAACTTAGTTCATCGTTATATACGGGTAATGATAATTTAAATCGGCAATTGGGTCTAGAGAAGGACACCGTTCTGGTGGGTAAAGACCCTATACAAAATGGAGATGTTGGAGAAAAAAATAATAATAACTACAGACATGGGGGATCGCCAGACATTATGGCGATAGATATGGATATAGATAATAGAAATAGAACGTGGCCGAAGTCATTGAGCCTTAGGTCTCCTGCCCCACAACCTAATTCAGCCCCATCATCACCATTTACAAACAGGTATTTTGATTTAACGGCTCCGTTAGAGAGGAATACGACGATTGGAAATGATATTAATTATGGCAATCAGAATGGTATTGATGTTATTGAAAATCCAGGGCTTCGATTAGAGGAGGAGCAACATTTAAATACCAATAAGAGGGGAAATAGTAACAAGAAATCGAAAACCAGTATTCAGGAAACTGAAGCGAGCGGTTCCCAGCCATATATGTATTCATTAATGAACTCACGGCCACAGAGCAGTTTTCAAGGAACAAAAGCATTTCAATCGTCTACAAAACGACCCAGTCCTAAAAACAACAGGGAAAATCTCACGCCAGGTCTACAAGGCCAAATTGTTAAACTGCCCGAATACCATGACTTGGATAATCATAACCAAGCAAATGCGTTACACCGTACATCAATAATGTCGAATCAAAGTCGAACCCTGGAAATTGGCCCAGAAACAGACGTACTACCAAACTCTTTTGGACAGGTGCCAAATATAGCTACGGAAAAAAGGGGGGTTTTGGAATTAAACACAGTGAAAGAAACACTGAACCCAGCAATGGAAAAGACACCTAAACAACCCAAGGCGAATATGCCGGGTGTTACTCTATTGAAGGGCAAGAAACTTTCGACCACCCCCCAATATAAATTGGAAAAAAGTTTACGGAATGTTTTCGAAATATGGAAGGAATACGAGTATGGGATTAATGGAAAGCCTCCTTTAAGACAACTAGAGGCACAGTATAATACTAAATGGAGGAATGAAACAGAACTGAGAACGTTCTTAAGGCGTAAGAAAATTTATGATGCAATTGAAAAGGGCAAAAAGGCGGGTTACCATGAAAGGCAAATTATAGAGGAGCTCGAGCTTTTAAGAACTTACGATAACTTTGGAGTTGTAAAAAAGAAGCCTTTGCTGTGGCTATATTCTAATATTCCTCGTAAGTTTTGCTAAGAGGTTGCAGCCAATAAGTGAATATGAAAGTCAGCTTATGCGCATCAAATCGAAAAAAAAAAAAAAAATTTGGCTCATCTAATTGATAAGGTATTTGGAAATAGATTGTAAATACAGTTAGTAAATCTATAGTATAATGGCTCGCACAGCATCTATCGAGATGAAGAAAAGGCATATTTCTGCAACAGATGTAGAAGGTGAATGCAAAAAGCCTAATAACCAAAGTGAGGTAAGTAAATCACAGCCTAAACAAAGAAAGACTAAGGTAGTTAAAAGAAAATACAAAGCGAAGGATGTGGATGCTACTTCGCCATTAGGAATATTACAGCATGAAATTAAGGAGCTCTTGACGGAATATGGACTCGAAGAAAATCAAATTTCCAATGATATGCCATCAATTTTGAATGATCCCCCTACCGAAGCAAAATACCATAGGAATGTAAGTGATGTCGAGGTGGTCAAATTATCATCTAATGGGGACGGCTTAGCTATTATTCTGCATCCAGCCAAAGAGGATGGCAAGCAGGTATGTTTAGTGCCATTTGGGTTGCCTGGTGATAAGGTTGATATCAGAGTATTTAAGTCGCATCCGTTGTATGTCGAATCTGATTTGCTTAAAGTAAACGAAGGGTCACAGCATAGAGATGAGTCTTTGATTAAGTGCCGTTACTTTGGTAAATGTTCTGGGTGTCAGTATCAAAGTGTAGATTATGACCAACAATTGATTTTTAAGAAGCAAACCATCGAAAATGCATACAAGTATATGGCCCCAATTTTGTCGAAAGCTGATAATGGATTACCATCAGTGAAAGACACGGAAGCATCACCACTCCAATATGGATATAGGACAAAGTTGACCCCGCATTTCAACTTACCATACACCAAGCCAAAAGAATATCCTCCTCCTAGTTTAGGGTTTGGGGCGAAGGGTAGACCTACCTGGAGACCTGAAGCAGAAGGTGGCAGTTTTTCAATTTTGGATATCGAAGAATGTACGATTGGTACGGAAATCATCAATAAGGGAATGGCAAATGAGAGAAGTAGATACTTACAAGACTACATGAAATATAAGAAGGGGGCTACCATTTTATTGAGAGAAGATACAAACAAGGTCACCGAAAAAGATCCAGCAGAACAGAAGCCTGCATCTACTGATCCAGAAGGCTCTGTATCTTCAGTGATGGTAGAACTTGATAATGGTGACGAATTGCGCAAGACATGCGTTACTAGCTCTAGACAGATTGTCACTGAATATGTCAACGGGTTCCAGTTCCAATTTTCGGCAGGGGAGTTTTTCCAAAATAATAACTCAATTTTGCCAATTGTGACCGATTATGTCAAGTCCAATTTGCAAATACCGAACTCAAATGCCGATGAACCAAACTATTTAGTGGATGCGTATTGTGGATCGGGACTCTTTTCCATAACATGTTCGCAAGGCGTTTCTCGTGTCATTGGTGTTGAGGTTAGTGCCGATTCCGTCAAGTTCGCCGAGTTGAACGCCAAAAACAACCATATCGAAAATGCTACATTTATTGTGGGCAAGGCCGAAAAGATCTTTGGCAACATTAATACTCCTGCCGACAGAACTGCTGTTATCTTGGACCCACCAAGAAAAGGGTGTGACGATGTATTCTTGAACCAGTTGTCAGAGTACCATCCGGCCAAAATCGTGTACATCAGCTGTAACGTCCACTCGCAGGCCAGAGATGTCGACTGGTTCATCAACAAGACCAAAAACGGCCAAAAATACTTTGTAGAGAGCATCAAGGGCTTTGACTTCTTCCCCCAGACTCACCACGTCGAGAGTATTGCGGTATTAGCTTTGAAGAACTAGCCGGCCAGCACTACTCATCATAATCGCAATTACATAGCACAATGCATAATTATCAACAAGTTTTGCTGTAAGCCCATTTTATATAAAATTCTCGAAACACCTTGAGCTCTACTATCTTAACCTCTACTATCTTAACCTCTACTATCTTAACCTCTACTATCTTAACCTCTACTATCTTAACCTCTACTATCTTAACCTCCCTCGACCTCGATCAACCCAGTTTGCAGCATCTTAGATCCCGATCGAGAATCCAGTATACGCAAGTTTGTCTACCAATATACATTCTATATCATTAAGCTAAATAGTACAATCCCCTTGCATCTAAGCGTCCTTTCATTTTAAATCATTTCGTACTTTCACCCTTCATTAGTCCCTAGAACTCGTTTCTGGAACCCCAGACCATGTTCTCATATTAGGGCTGTAAGCCCTAGTACCATCCAATGCCAGACCAGACACTTTTGTGTAATATACATTTCGGCGTGTTTTCACCAAAAAGAAAAAAAATTTCCGTCTCGTGCTCGGATGAAGCCTCATACCGACTTAGTTAGTGGTTGGGGACGGTATTGGCCTGGTGCTTAGAGTGAAAATTTTTAGAATATTGATAAATATCTATAGTTAAAGGAATAGCTTATATCCATAAATACACCAGTCACAATGGAAAACGATAAAGGTCAATTAGTAAGTAAAGATTAGTGATAGACAGTCTCATATGTCATTAGTTGGACCACTGTACCGGAGGAGAACAACGAAATGAATGAGTGAAAGAGTGAAAGAGTGAAATACGAAGAAATCAAGTAAAGAGTCCTATAGAATGGGAAACGAGAGGACACAAGAGAAGCAACAGAACGTAGAAGCATAATATCAGAAGGACTTTAGAAATGCCGTTAGTAGGGGACGAGGTACCACTAGGTGAAAAATTATGCGAATTGGACGTAAATCAACTCGAGAAGAGCCAAACAACGAAAATCACGTATTTGGATGAATATAAAACCAACGATACACCGGAATGAGCAACTATGACAGAGGAAGACTAAATGGACACCATACTAACAATTTTAGGTTGAATTATACGTCCCAAGAAAATGTTCTGCCACCAACAGAATCATGAAGGCCAAGGACCACTCTTCTGTTCAAATTAACATCGCTAACGTCGATGAAGAAGGTAGAGCTATCCCAGGTGACAACACCACCTACGCTTTATGTGGTTACATCAGAGGTAGAGGTGAAGCTGATGACTCTTTAAACAGATTAGCTCAACAAGACGGTTTATTGAAAAACGTCTGGAGTTACTCCCGTTAAGTTTCGGTATATTACGTGCATGGTTTAACTTAAATTAATAGTTTGATTATATATTTTTTGTCTTATGTGTGTGTATATCTAATTTAATGTCATAAAAGGTTTTATAGTGGACGGAGTTGTAAAATGTGCGGAGCACGAATTGGTGGTTTTCTTAATGATCACCATAACAAAATAACTAATGGCAGGATAAACTCTTTATCCAAATAGACAGATTAGCATTGTTTTGTGTGGTGAATAGCATTCTTAGCATTTAAACTTCATTGTTGACAAGAACATAGATTTTGGTGGTATTATTTTTGTTGCACTTGTGGAAAATTGCATTTTTTAACAACCACTTTACTCCACAGTAGTACTAAATAGAGATGACTCAAGGGGTATTCACTCTTTTGTATAACGAAGAATATTTGGCAGGGGCACTTGTTCTAGCCATTGCGCTCCGTAAGATCCTCGAACGCCAGCCCGAAGTTAATATTTCATTGGGGGTTATTATTGATAAAGGACGGTTGAACGACTCTCAGGTATCGCTTTTGCAGAATTTGTACGATGATATAATTGAAGTGGAGCAATTAGAGTCCGATATGGACCACAGGTTGACCTACGACTTAGGGAGACCTGAATTGAAACAGACATTTACCAAGATCCAGCTTTGGTCGTTGACAAAATACGACAAGATATTGTACTTGGATGCGGACACTTTGCCTAATGTCCCCAAGGACGAATCGCAAGGGTCAATTCTCGATTTGTTGAAGTTAGACTTCGCCGCTAAAAAGGTCCTTGCAGCTCCTGATAGTGGGTTCCCCGATATCTTCAATTCAGGGGTCATGTTGTTGAAGCCGAACATGTCCGACTACACTAATCTATTGAATTTAATAGAGGAGTCGAGAGATAATCGCAAGCTTTCGTTCGATGGGGCAGACCAGGGCCTCCTAAACCAGTATTTTAATCTGCAACCAGATTGGGTTCGAGATTTAGTATCTTCTAACCAAACTGAGGTTGCGGCCGCCCATGGTGCCAAATCTTCGAATTGGATTCCATTGCCATTTTTATACAACGTCACTCCTTCCACTGAATACGAGTATTTGCCCGCATATAAGCATTTTGCCAGTACTGGGTGGCTAAGCACTGTATACGGCAGTCTGGGTAGAGGGTATTCGAATTTATTGCCTCATTTCAATGGAGAAAAGTCCCAGATAAAACTTGTTCATTTTATTGGACCTGTGAAGCCATGGAAAGCAGAACTTTCCATTGGTATTTATGGCCAATGGTGGGACACATGGTATGGGTATTTTGGTAATGTCACAGTTGAGGAAGTTGTTTATCATGGTGGAGGCGATTTAGTCGTTGAATCTAGTTCGTTCGAAGATCGAAAGGAGACTCAAATCCAGTCGGTAGAAACTCCACCGATGAAAACACAACAGAGTGATCAATTCGATCCGTCGTACCTTTGCGATCCAACAAACTACCAACACATTCCCAGCACCATTGTCCCTAGTGTTGACGCTTCATGGGATCCTGCAAACGAACCACCTCCTGCGGCCAAGCCTGTTAAGCATGAAACTGTTGAGCTCGAGAGAGGAATGAAATCGTTCACAAATGCATGGGACTCTAGCGATGAAAAGTCAGCCCATGAAGATTCGCATGCACCAGCATATGAAGGAGTGCAACTTTCTACGGAAACTCAACGTCCTTCCGTTGAACATTATACTAGAGATGAACACCCTACAGTAGAACAGTCTACAGACAACTGTTACACAGACAACGACTCCACAGTACACCCGTTTGGCTACCATGCTTCTCAGAGACCAGAAAGAGTGTTTGCTGACGACAACGTTGTTCTTCCCCATCCATATATGCCTCGATCCACCTCCGATAACGCAGAACCGGCTCCTAGCTCAACACCACCCATATCCGGTCAATTGGAGCACGAAGAAATCTACAACACGCTAGCTAACCTCCAAATAGACCAAGCCAACACAGACAGCTTGGATCAACACCCAGACCAAGACTCACCTCAAGACTCACCTCAAGACTCACCTCAAGATGATACCCCCGTTGCGAAATTGTTTCCCTGGGAGTTCAACAAGGAACAACACGTTCCAGAAAGAACGTTCGATTAGTATTTTAGCATATTCTCTACAAAAGCAAATAGGTTATACACGATTTTCATTCGATTTAGCACCCAATTGACCATAAACTACTAGTACTAGTAGTATCTTGTGACTGTGTTACCCGGAGAAAAAAATTACAAAGAATTTTTTTTTTTTTTTCATTGGGCTCATTGAAATGGCAAAATTCAAATAGCAGATCCCTTGAATATTAAAAAAAGTACAGTATTTATATAATTACATACGAATTAGTAAATTTATTAACTTATAATTCGAATACTACAACATGGCTTCCGAAGGTATTACTGAAATCGACTCTGGTTTGATTGAAACCAATTACGACAACGTCGTTTACACATTCGATGATTTAAACTTGAAACCAAATATCGTTAGAGGTATTTTCGGTTACGGTTACGAATCGCCATCCGCTATTCAACAAAGAGCTATCTTACCTATTACTGAGGGACGTGATGTGTTAGCTCAAGCTCAATCTGGTACTGGTAAGACCGCCACTTTCACCATTTCCGCATTACAAAGAATTGATGAAAACGAAAAGTCCACCCAAGCATTAATCTTGGCTCCAACCAGAGAATTAGCATTGCAAATTCAAAACGTTATCACCCACATTGGTTTATACTTGAACGTCACTGTACACGCCTCTATCGGTGGTACCTCGATGAAGGACGATATTGAAGCCTTCAAGTCCGGTGTTCAAATCGTTGTTGGTACTCCAGGTAGAGTTTTCGACATGATCGAACGTCGTTTCTTCAAGACTGACAAGGTCAAGATGTTCATTTTGGATGAAGCCGATGAAATGTTGTCATCTGGTTTCAAAGAACAAATCTACAACATTTTCAGATTATTACCAGAAACCACCCAAGTTGTCTTATTATCTGCTACCATGCCACAAGATGTCTTAGAAGTCACCACCAAGTTCATGAACAACCCAGTCCGTATTTTAGTCAAGAAGGATGAATTAACTTTGGAAGGTATTAAGCAATTCTACATTAATGTCGAACAAGAAGACTACAAGTTCGATTGTTTATGTGATTTATACGATTCCATCTCAGTTACCCAAGCTGTTATCTTCTGTAACACCAGATCCAAGGTCGAATTCTTGACCACTAAGTTGAAGGGTGAAAACTTTACCGTTTCTGCCATCCACGCCGACTTACCACAAGCTGAAAGAGACACCATCATGAACGAATTCAGATCTGGTTCTTCCCGTATTTTGATCTCTACTGATTTATTAGCCAGAGGTATTGATGTCCAACAAGTTTCCTTAGTTATTAACTACGATTTACCAGCCAACAAAGAAAACTACATTCACAGAATTGGTAGAGGTGGTCGTTTCGGTAGAAAGGGTGTTGCCATCAACTTTGTCACTGACCAAGATGTTGGTATGATGAGAGAAATCGAAAAGTTCTACTCCACTCAAATTGAAGAAATGCCTGCTGACATTGGTGCTTTATTCAACTAATTTTAGATATGGTATGAACTTTCAAATCTTATATAAAATTTAATATTATGTTTCTTCGAAGTCTTTATGTCATGTATAATAGTTTTTAAGCAGATGATTTGTTTCATTTGTATCTAGATTATGTATTTTAAAATTATCAACTATTAGTGCCTTCGCAATGAAATAGACGCACAGTTTCCTTAACATCAAAACTAAAATATTCCTTTTTGTCTCTGAACTTAGACTTAATATGAAATAGATATCAGGATATCTATAACCCACTATTTACTGAGCTGTAAACATTTTAAATGAGTGACGATTACAGACCCATTATCCCTGGATCATTTCCTAATGCCCTATCAGTAGCATCAGGAACGGAATCACTAACAAATGCAAAATCAGTTGCCACTACGATCATAGACGAAGAGAACAATTCTAAGTTTCGGAACAAACAATTTATAGTTCAAAAAACCAGGCATCAGCAGAATTTGATATCACAACTTGATACTTTGGTTTACTTGCTAGTAGGGTACCAATTTATTAAATATTGCCATTCAGCATGCATACTACCAGTTCTATTACATATAATAGTGCAGAAGATTTTAAGCTGCAGTTCTATTACTGGTGATCCTAGTAGTGGCGGCATTCACGTAATCAATGAGGCTGTTACAGATTTTATCAATAGACGAAGACAAGATAATGCTAATACACCCAATGACCCTTCGAGAGATGATCTAATTAACAATATATTTATAAAGGCCTGTTCGTTAGTTTACTGGAAAGCGATAATAACATGCGTTTATCACGTATTGTTTGTATGTACATGGATGGTACTGATAGTGAATGATGATAAGTTAAAAATGTTAGAAAATGGGTCATGGTGGTTTATTTCTTTTATCGGGGAGTCAATCCCTGAAGATATTACAAAAGAGACCAATTATTGGTATAAGCTATTTCAATTGGGACTACCTGGGCTATTGGTATCTGATCTAATTATATTATTTATTCAATTGGTACTTTTCCAGTGTATATATAAACAATCAACTGTTTCACCAATTGGCAGAACATTGAATGAAGACGAGATTAATCTTATAAGACAAGCTGGTGACTTTTCTTCAATTCCAGATAGAGCAAAAATATTTGGAGGTACCGTTCCATGGGTACTACTGATTAAACTTTATGAACTATTCGAAAGAAAGTCATTTACAGACTGCTGATGTCAAGCGATTTAAGCGATTACTACATAGTAAGTCGCAATAGTCATAATATAAACTAAGTATATTATGAAGAAGTACATACTATACTGAACATTTTATAGATATATTTATCACGTGTATTAATGAAGATAGAAAGGATTCGTATTTATTCTACTAGCAGGACAAAATGTATGGTCGTACACCACGATTGGTACGATTTGGCGTCTCAATTCCGAGGCTCCAGTCCCTTCGATCTAAGTCGTACTATCTAAGCGAGAAATGGACCAAGGAACCGTTCGAAATTGGATATCCAGTAAGTACATCGCAGGTTAAAGAAGATTCTAAATTATTACGGCAGAAGCTATTTCCAGCCACATGCCTTACAGAATATGATCACTTTGTTCAAGACTCAAATCGTGAGTTTGAACTCAACGAATGGAATCAATTAGATAGTGACCAAATATATAAATATCAGAAAATGGTGGATGATGATAAACCCCAATATGTGCATCCGAAGCCTCAATATGCTACAGGGTTCGAATTATTCAAGATTGAGCTGCAATTGAATAGAAATGAAAAGAACTATTGGTCAATGCTAAGTAGTAGAGATAAAGAAGGATATTATAACAGTCAGATCGTTGAACGTTTATATAATGAAAGGTTAAGAATATGGATGGGTTATGAAATTGTCGCATATCTTAAGAGAAACCTGTCTAAATATATGTTCAACCCGTACCCTTTACTGGGACTCTACCCTTGGGAGATAATAAAAGATAAGCTTCGTGTTAAAGGAGATATTCATGACTTTGAGAAGGACTATTACGATACGTTGATCAAGGAGGCATTCGGCAGAAATTCACAAAGAAAAGCATTACAGATATATTATACCGATATACTGCATGAAATAGACGACGACAACTTATATTATGCAAAGGTTGAAAAGATGTTCAGCAGCTTGCCTCCTCCTAAAAAGCAATACTATTTAGACAAAGAGCGTAAGAGACAAGAGCACGCAATGAAGATACGGCTTCGACCATATAAACAAAAAACTCCCTATCTGAAGTTCCTTGTTCAATTCAGTAAAATATATGAACCAACAAATGAGGAGTTAAACAATCTTAATTCAAAAGCATCTGAAAACAATATGAAAAAACTAGCTACAACTAAAGCAGCAGCCAGAGAGTGGAAAACTTTCACAGAAGAACAGAAAAAACTTTACGAGGATGTTGATAAAGTGTCATCAAACACAAGACTTTATAAAGAGAAGATCCTCGATTGGAAAGTAGAAATGGTCATGGATTATATTTATGAGATGGGTGGTGTGTACGGGTTACAATCATCGTACAACTGGAGAGAAGATATGCATGAAAAGATAAATAGTTATAGATACTTGAACAAGATGTATGTGGATAAGCTAGTCTACCTACATAAGGGTAATTTAGTGGTTACAAGGGATTGATTTGTAAATAGTTAATAAATTTTGCAATTGAAGACCTACTACACAAAACGCGGGCAATTTCATATCTTCGACGCGTAGGCCGTATTAAAAGATATCATCATCTTCTATATTATTTTAATTTTCTTATTCACAATTAAACTATGACTGACGCCGAACAAACTATCAAGAAGCAAAAGACTGAAGAAGCAGAACAAAGCTTAAGGGTATTTTTACGTTCAGAAAATGCTACTTTACCAACTAGAGGATCTGTCTTGTCTGCTGGATATGATATTTACGCATCAGAAGAAGCTGTTATTCCAGGACAAGGTCAGGGTTTGGTTGGAACTGATATAAGTGTTGCAGTTCCTATTGGAACTTATGGAAGGGTTGCTCCAAGATCTGGCTTAGCTGTCAAGCACGGTATTTCTACTGGTGCTGGTGTTATAGATGCCGACTACCGAGGTGAAGTCAAGGTTGTTCTTTTCAATCATGCACAGAAAGACTTTACAATTCAAAAAGGTGATAGAATTGCTCAATTGGTTTTGGAAAAGATCGTGATGGCTGACATTAAACAAATCACTGCCGAAGAATTGGACATCACTGTTAGAGGTGAAGGTGGATTCGGGTCTACAGGTAAGAATTAGAATGTCACACGTTTTATAAATATAGATACAACTTTATACAGATGAAAATAAAAGGAATAACATGTAACATAATCTAAGTGAAATTTTTTATTTATAGAAAAATAATTAACTGATTAATTAAAAAACTCACGAAATAAATAAAATGAAAAGGTAATATCTGTCATGATTCATATCTCTTAAAAATTTCATTAGGTTGAAGAGTATCAACCTTGATTATTCAGCGAAACTAGTTCTTCTTACCTGAGGTTTCATTGCTAGTGGATGCATTTTCAAGTTTTTCCTCTTCCTTCTCCTTTTCAATTTTTTCAACATTCTTTTTTTCAGGATCAGCTTCTTCATTATCAATCTTCATACCCTCAGTAGCAGTATCTTCGTATTCATCCAAATTGATGTTATCCTTGACTTTATTTACAGTATCCTTTTCTCTCAAGTTTTCTTCGTTAATTAACTCATCTTGTTCCTTCAAGATGTTCAACTTCAACTTAGAGTCGTCGGATAATTCCAATTTAGCAACGTTATAAACTTCATCTGGAATGGAAGACAATACGGCTAACAATGCATCATAATACGTTTCAAGACCGTGCGAACCATCACCATACGTATAAGTTGATGATAAAATTAACAAGGTAGAAGGAATCTTTTGTCTTAACCTTAAATCCAACCATGTTGCTAAATCATCTCTTAATCTTGCAGGAGAAACATCAGTAGTTTTAATACCTCTTTGAGAACAAGCCATTTGTAATTCGAGAATACTTAATGATTCGACGCCTTCGTAGTCAATTGCCTTATCATCTTTAATGATTGTTAACAAACGATGTCTAATTTGATAACGTAAAATAGAATCAGTGCCAAATGGTCTTAAGGACATATATTTGGACATGGCAACCAACTGAGGACGAGATAAATTATCCAAAACTTGATCATTCCTGAACATACGAGCTACTTGAATCAAATGTTCCCTTGTTGGATTCTTACCCATTGAAATAGTATGGAAAAAAGAAACGAAGGCCTCTTTTTCTTCTTCAGTAATTTTCTTAGATAACTTTAAACCAGATTCTTCCATAGTTCTTTTGATGTATTCAGAAGTCGATACCCTAGTCTTGGACAATTTTGCTCTCTTCTTCTTCTTGTCTTGTTTTGACTCGTAGGTTGAAGGTAACAAGTTTGGGAAGATCTTCAAAGCAACAGGTAATAATAACTCTGCAAACGGAATAATAAGGAACATCGAGAATGGCACTAATCTCATCACATCTACAATGGTACGCTGCAACTGGTTTGCTTCTCTACGTGACAATCCGTAACCTAATGCCATCTTGAACAACAATTTAGTTGACACTTTCACTTCATAACCTAACAACTTAGTTCCATCCCAATAATGCTGAGCTTCGTGCTTGACTTTTTCCCATAGAGATTTTTTACTCTTCTCGTCAACCTTAGTAACCTCAGTAGCCGGCTTGGATCCGTCGGATTTAGCAAGTTCTTGAGTTTTATCATTACTCGATATATTTGATTGACATCTAATAAAAGATGCTACCAAAGGTACGTTAACGGTTCTTTTGTTCAAATTACCATGAAGTGTAGGCTTCAATGGGTATCTTAAATTTCTGGTGGCGCTTTTGATCACTAGCCCTCGGGTACCTATCACTCCTACACCATTTGAAATACTTCCAGCCGTTCTCTTAGTAAGTAGATTATGAATCATGATTATTTACTTAACAATGGATTTGATAACTTAATATAAATCCTAGCTGATTAAGATAGTCAAGTATAATTACTATGTAAGAGATACTAGCAAGTAAAATTCAGTGGAAAAAAAACTACAGTAGTGCACAATGTTCAAAATTAAGTGCCTAGCATGTCATAAAGGCTGCAATCTTCCCTTAAACTAGATATATCTATTTATGTATAAAAATAAGCCCAGCAATACAAAGAATAATACTGCCATCAGTAAAACGAATAAAGAAAAGTAGCGATCTAACAAAAAAAAGTAAAAGTGTATTAAATTATTCATCATCTAATTTCAGGATCTTAGCCTGTTCTTTCGATTCACCATTGACACCAATGAAAATAACTTTATCAAGAAGAGTATGATAGTCTTCGTCATCACCGTCGATCAAAATGTTCAAGCTTTGGACATTTTGGAATCTGACGAATTTCAATTTGCATTCGTACCAAATCTCATCGTTCGTTTCGGCAATTTTCTCGATATGTGGGGCATTGGTGTCAGCAGAAGCATCATCGAAGGACATAATGCTATGTTGATTGAGCCAGACCTTGATAAGGCTTGGGTTTTGACATTCGTTCTTCAAGTCGTCCTCATCCAATTCCAATTCTACGTCCGAGGCAATTTTGTTATCCTTTCTAAGTTTGAGTACGATCGAGGAAACCTTGGAAATGTTTGTAAATGGAATATAAAACAACAACTGTGAATCAGCATCTGATAATACCGTACTGGTTTCCTTAGTGTAGTCGAGTCTGAAGAGATTTTTCACGTCCGAATCCTTTTCACCTTTGTAGAGTGGTAATGCATTCAATGCTTCGAATTGACCAAAATAAATAGAACCATTCAAGATTTCAAAGCCTTTGGGAATCTTATCAGCAATGTCCTTCCATGCAGAGGTCGAAACTGAAGCACCGCTCGTACCATTTCCAACCCTCTTGGTGGCAACTTCGTCGCTGGTCGCCTTCCCTTTCATAGAACGGAATTGCTTCATAAACTCTGGAACATTGGCCCCTGTAACCCTGTTGACTTCTTTGCCACTTTCCAAAAAGACAAAGGTTGGAATACTGGTGACTTGATACTGAGATGCCAAATCACCCTGGCTATCTAAATCCACTCTAACGATCTCTATCCTTTCATTCGTCTCATCCGTGTACAATGCATCTATTATTGGTTTCACTTGTTGACATGGTCCACACCAAGTGGCCGTAAAATTGGCCACTACATATTTGTTCTTTGATAAATATGCTTCGAAGTCTTGTGAAGACTTCACAAATTGAATCACCGAACTCATTTTTTATAATATCCCGAGCTGTACAAGATAAGTATAGATTAATATATGAACTTAGACTGCTATATGTCGATCAATCAATTAGATAAATTGATATAAATAAGGATTTTTGTAATTCTTCCAATACTACAATCTATAGATTAATGATGCGGATTTTTATTTAGTGAGACAATCTACCGATTCTTTCCAGGTTGATTAATAAACATAAATCATACACAATCAGAATAATATAATAGCTTTGATACCAGAACGGTAGAAATGGGAAGTGATGGTGGTCCGATGCTGTCAGAAAGTGATAAATCTGGAGCGAAATACCCGACATCACCATTATCGGCACTTAAGTTATCAAACGTGCCATCTCCTACCAAACAAAATCGAGAACCTCAAGTTAAAAATAATGGCCAAACACCACATATAGTTCACAATGGGATAGTGGAGGAGGATAATACACAAGAGGGTAAGCTAATTACTACGGAAAGAGAAAATCCGGATGACTTTGGTTTTGATGTTGTTCTTAACGATGATCTAATGGTTAATCAATATCAATCAACAAATAAGCACCATAACAAAGAGAAAATAAAGAAAGCAGGTGAATTGGCATTGATATTTTTGGACACCCGAAAAACATTAATGGCTGACCAAAATATAGTGGATCCAATGAATAATACGTCTAAATTTGATAGTATGGGACATCCACGCAGTCTGGAAGATGGACAGGGAGAAAACGTACGTAAAATAACTAGAAGCACAATAATAAGAGCTGAAAAGGTTAAGTCCATGATAGGACTTGAATATATGTGTATTCAGAAGTGTTATGACTCGTCAGTTTCTAATGCCGAGACGAATATGCATCCTGGAGTTGAAGGAGTCTATAATCCATTACAGGTAATACGGAATAGAAAAATAAGAGCTAAATATCACGAATACCCGAAGCTTTTAACTGTGAAGACACTACCGTTAGCATCAAACGTGTTTAGTTCCAAAAATAAGAATAGGGATTCCAAACGACAATGGAAAATGATATGGGCAATCGAGTTAAATGAATTAATAAGTGACTTATCGTGGAGACAATTACACTGGACTGAATTAAAGAAATCAAACGGAGAACTTTGGTTTCCATCGTCCACGGATGCATCAATTTATACTTCGAAGCTGGGCGATTCTAAACATCGTGGACACAAATTGTATGATAAGTTATTTGCTGACACCGAGGACGAAACAAGTAAGGAGAATAATGGAAAAGATACTAACCATTTGTTGGCGAAAACATCTACTGAAAGTTACGACGATTCGAAACTGAATGTTTCAAAAAGGAACAGTCACCATAAGACACATATGATTAAAGAGAAAATAAAGAAGCATTCAAAAGGGTTTCATTATTCATCTCCTTCATCTTCTCAATCATCCTCGTTTGCTAAAGACGCGAGTCAAGACGATAGCCAAGTTAATCAAGTTGATCGACAAAGTGGAAGACTCCAGGATTCTCTTGCATCTGGGCTGAGGCATTCAAGGGGTGACAGCATTATGATTGAATCCAATAATAACGGAATAGAAGATGGCAATGAGATAATTGATGAATCACCCAAATGGAATGAAAAGTACACCAAAAATTTGACCCCATCAATAAAGGTCGATGATAATTATCTTGGAAATGAATCAAATATCCTGAATTTACATATTAAACCAATGGAACATCATAGGAATAATAGCTGCGATAGAGCAAATGAAATGGATCAATATAGAAACGAGAAGAAAGAAGACATAGAAGAAATAGAACACGTAGAAGAGGTTGGAGACCTACATGCATCAGAGCAAGAAAAGGCTAATCAGGAAATAATTGCAATAAATTCCGATTTAAATTATTTTAATACGGCTCAAATTATCAAATTAAGCTATTTAAATAATATTCATCCTGCTATTTTAGAGGCAATTCACCTGAAGCTTAATTTGATTATCAATAAACAGTTGTCCGAAATTACACAATTGTCAGTTAATATAGACGACAATTACATATCGACTCATGAAATGTTTTATAGTGGTTTTTTAAATGAGATAAAATCTTTGACACATTTAATTAATGACGATTATTCCATCAAGATAGATAACATATTAAGTAATAGTGACAGATCAATCGGTGAGATTAATACATCGTTATCTTTAGAATTAAGAAAGGCTAATGAAAAGTTAGATAAACTAAATTCCTCTTTATTTGGAAATATTGTCACTGATACTTTTAAGGACAGCGATATTTCCATGTCCTTCACAGATGGTGGTAATTACAAAATGCTATATCTATTTTTGGAAAATTTTATCGTTATATTATTAAGAATTATTTGGGTAATTGCTAACATTTATCGCTTTTTCAGAATGATCATACAGATTATCTGGAAAGTGGTTTGGCACATTTTTTCATTTTTCACGCTAAATACTTGATCTATTCGTGTATACATTAAGTCATTGAGAGTTTATTCGAAGACCACTCATGCCATCTAGTTCCTGGATGAACTTATCTGCATTAATAAAATATTCATAATACTTATCCAAGTTTATCAACGAAGAGTCAGAGTCAGGCTCAGAATTTGATATTTGGTGGGATTGGCGTGAAGGAGATATTTTACCGTGTATCCTATTTTTGACAAAATAATTATTCAAGCCAATCAACATCTGATGGTTCATACTGTTTTCAGACTTATCATTATCGTTCGTATACCTTTCGATATCATCGTCAGTATTATAACCATGACTTTCGAATTCTTCATTTAAACCATATGACTTATTTAAATCAATTGTATGACGATGCGAAATATAGTTGTTACCGCTATCTATAATAACACCGATAATTTTGTATCTTGAATTTGTATTCAGAACGAGAAGTCGTCTTAATAGGTCTAGTTTTAATTCATATTCTTCATTGGATATTTTTCCAACATCTAACATAATTTTTGGTCTTGTTATATTTATCTTAGAATAATCATACACCTGCTCAATAATATGTTCGATTTCATAGTAGTCTAATTCAAGATTTATCTGTAGTATTATAAATGTCTCATCATTACCAATAGTCCCGACGACTGCAACAGTTCCGATTTTAGTGACAGATAAAAATTGATGGGGATTAGAAGAAGCATACATTGCTTCCAAAGCTGACGTGATTTTATGGCTATAAAATTCTTTGTCAAAGCACAGGGTATCGTCCAGAGTGTGGAAACCGACAGCATAAGAAACACCCGATACTAGTTCTCGGTGTAATTGTGATTCACTCAATTTACTACTGACAATACCTAAACAAAATAGGTCAGAGAAGTACTGGGGTGTAATTGTGTCTGAAGTCTCTCCAACTATGGGACAAATTTCTGCTAACTCGCAAAGTAATGCCCTACATATTGGGATTCCTTGTTCAATCTCGTATGTCATGATTGAGTTGAAGCCTCGTAAAAACGAGGGATCATTGTAAGTATGGTTGTACTTTGTTAAATTTGTTCTCAAAGACAATAATATATTATTGAGTTTTGGTCTATTGGACCTGTGGTATAAACCTAATATAATATCGGGCAATATTCCAGTAGGCATATCGTGAAATTCTTTTCCATTCATGCTACCCACCCACTTTGCACATGCCTTAGCTTGATTAGCATCGGTAATGAAACTTGGTCCCGTAATAACAAGCAAGGGATTCTTAAAAGCACCCTTTTGACTAATTATATCCACAGAGAGTATATTTCCAATACTTTCCCTATATTTCACAATCTTTTGTTGCAACAAACTTGTGGTTGGAAATAAGAAGTTCTGAATAAGCTCGGGCTGCGCTACAGCCACTTGACCTCTCTCACTTAAACACAAGCCCGAGGCCGATGAATAATTATTTCTTGATGCATTCAACGGAGGCAATGTTGTACCATAAATCCATTTGGGTGCCAAGCTCACCGACGACGACCCTCCTGAGCTGGTATTCGACGAAGAAACTTTAGTAGAGCCCTGTTCCAGCATTATTTTGAGCTTATTTAATTGATCCATCAATTGCTGTGAATTGTCCACTGTACCATATTTTGATTCTCCTTCAACATCACTTTCAATATCGTTCGTTTCCACAGTGATTTCGCTTGCTAATTTGTTCTCTGGTTCACAAGCAGAGATGACTGCTTCTTTTGCATCCAATTGAAAAGTCGCATCGTTAGGTACTTTTAGCTTTTTTAATTCATTATTCATATCGATAGAGGACTCCATATTTCTTTCAAGTTCTCTGATATATCTTTAATATTATTCCTTGAACAAAATTAGGCACTAGTAAGAATACGGCTTTTTCAAGTCATATAAATGAAGTTTACAAAATGAGTCAACGTACAAGCTTATTTTTTGCAGCTGATTCGTACGGCACGTGAGGGGTTGAAAAGTTATCAAAACTTAATATCAAAACGGCAGATTACAAAGTACCAAACGGCACAAGTATACAATGCAGCCAAAATCAATAGCATTATTGCGTATGTATATATGCTCACTATCAAAGATTATGAATTTTTTAAAACTAACTAAAATTAGAAAAGATTGATTCCAATATAGAGCAAATTTTACAAAAATTTCAAGACATATTTGAAGTAGCTATAATACAAGATAAATCAAAAGAATTGTTATCAGTGGAGTCGTTGACTATAGAATCAGATGCATTAATGATAATAAGACTATGTGAAGATCTATTGACTATAACTAGGACTTTGAAAGAAGCATGGTGTCTAGGAACAGTGAAAGTTAATTCTAGTGATGGTAGAGAGGAACATCAAGACACGAGAGCTATTTTCGACAAATACAATGCTTTGACTGATAAAATTGCACAATTTGAAAACATGAGTACGTTAGCTACAGATGGGATACAATAATATTACATGTACATAATACATTTAATCGTTACACATGAGGTCTTTATGAAGTTTAAGCTGTAGGCACGTATGCGTTCTTCAAGGGACTGGTGGGCCGCGTACTTGGTGTACTATTGGAGGCAAGATCCAGCTTTTCCTCGAATAAATTAACGAACTTTTGAACTTTCCCAACTTTGATAAATTTGAATTTTTTGTCCAGTTTAATATACTTGGGAACGGTAGAAGACTTGTTTCGAAATGCATACTCCAAATCGGAATTGGTATCCTCATAATTTATCATGGAAAAAGAGGCGGTAGATGTTCTTCGAGACACGGATTTATGCTTTGGCGACATTGATGCTAGTGACAGTTGTCTTGTCGAGGATTTTGGAGACTCTAACATTTGCTCAGTTAATTGAACAGGGGATTTTAGAAGAGACGTGTTCTGCATCGATTTGTATTGAGCCTCTGTATGTAATGGGATTTGATCGGGTATTGCACTTGAGTTTTTGGTGCTCTTTTGCAAATTATCAGATCTAATGAAATATTCATTGTGCCTTAGATTATTTATATCTTCAATAAAAGTGTCTTCATATTCCTCTTCCTTTATCGTGTTTATTTGCTTATTTGTCTTAGATGTCGACAGGCCAATTTTAGTCCGGAACATATCACTTTCCTCATCATTTTCCATCAATATGCTTTCGGTTTTAATCTCGTATTCGTCGTTGCCTTCCTCATTAGTGGTCGACCTTGTATCGTTAGACCTCAATAATAATAATTCCTCAAATGATGACTCATAATCATCGTCATATACAAATGACTTTCCATTATTAATAGAAACATCTTGGATACCCATGGGGACATCCGTTATATCTGCCAAATAGCCATTGTGGTCAATGTTTGTTGATCTCGATTCGTCCTTTGAGTCTAGTGTCCTTTGATCCTTGAGTTCCTTTTTCAATGTTGCTTTTATATAATTTTCAACCTGGTCTATTAACTGTTCATCACTCAATAATAACATTCCGTAGTTCTCGTCCTTCAAAAAATCAATAATCACGTTCGTTTCCTCATTCATGCAAATTATAAAGTCTAACACCTTAAGCGTTAAATTGACAATAAATACCTCATTGTTCATGAATTTATACGGGTTAATAGTAAGCCCCGGAGCCTTCGGTACCGCCGTCAATAAGCTCTCAATACTTGTCGAGCACCGATCCTTCGTTTTGGCTAATGTGATCAAATTTTCTTTTATCAAGTCGCTTGGCCTCAAATCCCGATTTCGTGCGAGCAATGTATTAAGTTCGATGCTAATATTAAATTCAAGCATCGGATGGTAGAAGCGTGTCATGTCTGTCAACTCTGTAGTCTTGTCTCCTAGCAGCAAATATTTTGACGCTATATTAATTATATTTTTAGGAATATCGGACGTAAAGATAAAGTTCGGTTTATCTAAATCATACTCTGACTGAAGCTTAAAATACGGTCTGAGTATATTCATACTCTGTCTCAGAGACAACATTTCGAAGCAACTTTAACCAGTTTATAATGAAGTTGATATTTATCAGTAAATATTTATTTTGTTATATGTGGTACTATATACCAATTCATATAATACCTGTTTATCGTTTTTATAAACAAACAACAAATAGAGCTAATCTGTAAAAACTACTTTTTGAGAAAAGCTCAAAACATTTACAGGTTATTCCACATGGCAATATGATTTCCATGATACTACTCTAGGTTGAAGAAACGGAGAGTAATACTTGAAATAGAGCATAGCATGTCGTCATACTATTTCACTATAATAGGCACCAGAGATAATCCATTGTACGAGTTAGAATTCTCGTCGTTCAAAACTGCTGTGTCGAGCTCATCGTCAACCAACAATATACCTGGGAGGTCGAACTTTCCAGCCAGTGTTAAGGAAATACTACCATTCATATCAAATTCGTCATTAGATTTAATAGAGGACATACAGTGGTCCACGAGTCAATTCAGTCTTGGTAAAATTGATTCTTTCTATGGGTTGTTAATCAATGCATTTATAACACAAGGTAATATTAAGTTTCTCTTGTGTTATGATCTAAACGGCGGGAATCCAGGCAGCGGAGGATCCAATCTTCAAAGTAAGAACGAAGATAATTCGATTAAACAGTTTTTCACGGAAGTCAATGAATTATACGTTAAATGCTTGTTAAATCCGTTTTACTCGGTTAATGATGCGATTACCTCGCCGGACTTCGATATGAGATTGAAAATGCTAGCTAGAAAGTATTTATAGTGTATGATAGAATGAATGTATATTAAATAATATGTACAAAAAGCATTAACGAGTGATAATATAAAGCCAAACTAAATGTTATTTATGAAGATTTCTATTCAGATTCCTTCAAAACATTTTCAGTTTCCACTTTGAAGTCACCATTCTCAGTTTCAACAATTATTCCCTGTTCTTTCAAGCTATCAAACATATCTTGTGGCACCCATCCACCAGTTGCAGCAAATGGCGTAGATACAATTTCCATTTGGTAGTCTTCTATGTCCTTTTGGTGCTCATCTAAGTATTCCGCAGTGAATGCGATTGGGAATTCCGTTTCAGTGGCATTACACAATTCATTGGCAACATAGGCTTCCCACATTGCTTGTAATTGAACAATAGAACCTTCGATATACAAATAATCTTTATCACTCTTGAAATCTAAGGCTTGGACGTAAGGGCTTTTCAAGACTTTAACGTGTGGAGAAGCAACTGCAATTAAGTCATGTTTTCTTGAGTTTAATTCAAGTTCCCACAATCTTTCGTTTCTGGTTTTGTAATACATGAATTGATATTGTTGCTTTTCAACTTCATCCATTTCACTGTATCCTGGAATATCCTCTTCTAAGTTATAGATCTTTGCACCCTGATAGCTGACAAATGATGGGTAGCTAGACAAGATAAATGGTTTGATAGAAGTATATTCAAAATCAACGAAATATGGTTCGTTATTTTTATTGGAGTTGAGAATCACATTCAATGGGTCCAAATCTGGGCAATATAATCTTGGCTTGAATAATTCCTCAGCGTTCATAAGAGACTTAGAATTAGGGTTAAATAATTTAGTACTCATTGTCTTCAAGTTTTCAAAAGTGGTGATCATCTTTTGAATTAATTCGACATTTTCAACTTTATTACCTGAATCAGCTTGTGCTAAAGCTAATCTATTTCTCAAGTTTTCTAATTCAATACCTGCAATAGATGTGATAGTTTCTAATGGCTTATCGGCATCTACAGGCTTATTATATTGCTTAATTTCCTTTTCAGATAATTGATTCTTATTTTTTGAGAAAGACTTTTCAACATTTGGTCCAATTCTCCATCTCTTTGTGAGTAATGGGTTTTCCTCTCCATTGTATGGTAAGGAAGATTGATCGGCAACACTTACGTCGTCATTAAAGTATAATGACCCGAACTTATTGAATGTGATTGAAAGCAACTTCTCTTGAAATGCTGCAATTGGTTCAATAACCGATTTCAATTTTTCTTGGGATCCTTCCGTCTCATCAGCTACTAATGGGTCCCATTGTTTCATCAATAAATCACCTTCAATATGTTCCATTAGAATAAATGGGCTTTGTAAGGAATTCAGTTTGTTTCCGCCATAAGCAATAACCTTGGGAACATTTGCACCCAATTTTAAATTTAAGAAATCCATTGTTGCAACTTCACTCTTAATTTTTTGAGAAATAGAGTATTCAGATTCTAACTTATATGGAATTCTCAACACTAATTCCTTTCCAGTAGATAAAGTAACTTTATAGATTCTGTTATGCTTACCTTCATGAATACTAGCAATAGCCTTCACCAATAATGAATCCTCTTTACCAATTAAGTTAGATGTCAAATTCTGTGTCAAAACATATGAGCCATCCTTTAATTGGCTAGGAGCCTTAACAAAAGGTTCGCCACTTTTGTCAATATTTCTTGGATTTTTCAGTTCGACATTCAAGTCTTGCAATAATTTTGTAATACCTTCAATCGAAAATTTGGTTTCTCTTTTAGATTTTTCGGATTGATCATTTTTCATCCATGAACCCCAAGTATATTGGAAAAATTGGTGCCTTTTTGGATCTTCGGAATCAGAAAGCTTAGTGTACACCTCATTAGGCTTAGAGTTAAGTGTCGATTGAAACTTTTTAGAAATTATTGTTGCATTCACTTTGAAACTAGAAGATTTTAATCCACTTGAGAGTCTCTTTGGACCCACTCTGGAAGTTAACTTAAGCATCGTCAATTGTGTTGCTGATACTAGTAGTCATAAAGATGAAAAATTGTAGTTCAACAAATTCCCCTGAACTTCTTTGGTTCGCATCATGTGACCTAAGCCGGAGTGCCAGTTTAATGTACATTCAAGTAAGAGAAACTATAAAAGATCTTAATTATATGACAAGCATAATGAAGAAATTACGTATTATCGACGCCTATCATCACCAGGATGTGGCCATCAAAAAAAAAAAAGTATTAAAAATCCCGGAGATTGATATATAATGATGAGTTTATGGTTCATGGTTTATGAATCATGGTTTATGGAGTCAGTATTCAACAAATTAATCTTTTCCTTTAAAGACACAGGAGGAATAGAGTTCGAGTAAGTCTCAATATCAATATCCTTTTTATCTTCCGTTTCACCGTCAACTTCTGCATTGGTACTCTTAATCGAAGATTGAGTAATGGAAACACCGTCTCTATCTTCCCTTGGCGAATTAGTCACCGATGACTTTTGTCCATACGGTTTCAATGGAGGACTCGTCATCCCTGTATTTGTATAAATATGCCTATTCTGATGTGATGGAGGTGGAGGTGGATACGGATTCGAATTCTGGATCATGTTCGCAATAATATTGCTCGAATACTGCGTCGGACCATGTCTGTGCAACTTCTTACCCTCGATCCCGTCCTTAGTCGCCGTCGTCGAAAGACAAGAGGTCGTAGAATTGCGGGATAATTGCCTGGAACATGATTCAAAGGGAAGCACATTATGATTCATTCCTTCAATTGATTCAGAACTTCGTTCTACATTCGGCGAGTTTACACTCGAGCTCACGTAATTCTGCTGATAGTCACTCCCCGAAGATAAAATGGACACATTGGTGTACGAATTTTGGCTATAAAATTGATTTTCGTTCGCCTTCCCATTAGGCTGCATGTTAGCCAAAGCCTTCAAATTCTTCGAGTTGACACTATAATTGGATTCCTGACTAAGTTTCGATGACATATCGTCGTTTTCGGCATCATTCTGTGAAAAATTGTCATAACTATTATTATTCGAGTATTCATACGGCTCTAACTCATCAGGCGTATCTATATTCATCTTCCCACTAAATATAGATTTAACACTAGCTGCTGGATGTGACATTGCTGTGAAATTTGGATTATTCTTTTTATGCTTGTATTGTATGATTTCTTATCAATTAAATTATTCTACTTCTTCAAAAATTTTTATATTTCAACCGTACTAGGACAACCATAATATCATCTTGATCTTTCTATAGGAGCTTATAACCATCAATGACCGCAAAACAAATATTCACCAGCTGATTACGTAATAACAAACATTCTTCGGTGCAGTTTAATTGTTCTATTGTATTGTTCTATTTGCAGACCGTATAGGATTGCTCTATATATGGGGAGAATCGACAGGGGTGAGGTGTGGGCAGACATTGTAGCTAAGCGAGATCTAAATATGTTCTAAGAGTTTTGTGGTAAACAAAGTCATGAATTCGTCGATGACAAGTTTTCGCAGCGAGGTTTGGACCATGTCAAGATCTTCGAGATAACTAACCAGCAAGTTGAGGCCATTTGACTCAGTAGCAATTAGTGAAAGGGAGAAGTGGCTGAGGATGCCGTTCGTTTGGCTGAACCAGAGATTTTCGACGGACCAATCGTCATGAGAAATCAGATGAAGCCCGAGGTTTGACACCTCTAGGGTCAGTCGCGAATCGATCTTCCCGAGTTTACTCCTAAGAAAGTCCCAACAATTGACGTACTTGAGGAGACCCACATAGCTGAATGGCGATCTGTCGGAGACACCGGTGGTCAATTGTGTAGTGAGGGTGTTGATAGAGGCTTTCAGGTCTGTGTAGGGGCCCATTTTAGACGTAAGCAGGCCAACGTAAAGACCGTACTTGGTGTCGTTCAGCTTTTCGGGGAAGTACCTTCGTCCATCTATGGGGATACTAACTTCGAATGAACATTGCTGACCTGATACAACAGGGAAAGCTGTTGCTTGGAGGGCGGACATAGCAGTTACAGCAATATACGGGGTCAACGTTGTATTCTGCGACTTGCAGAATGCACGGAGCCGTTTCACGTCGTTTGGCGTAATGCTGACACATCTTAGATTTGACTTGGTCTCCTTTTGGGTCGGGTTGTGGGTGTAAAGTGGCGTTTCTTCCACATTGCCTGAAAAGAGAGACCAGAACCCATTGGATAACCATTTTGGCAAGAGCATATTCTGTAAAATTGCCAGTACGGTAAACAAGATGGAAGGGTTGTATAAATCAACAATCTTATCCGAGTTTTCAAGAATTGCTGGTAGTATGTCCCTATCTGCCTCGTAATCGAACAACGTTTCCTGGAATTTCAAAGTTTGGTCCTTAGAATGGTGTTCCAATTCAATAATCAAGTCTTTGTGGAACTGAGTCGTTGAGCTGCCATCAAAAAGTGTATGATCACAGTGGAATGTCACATATTGCTTCTTATCAGACGACGATTCGTATACATTTAGTCTCCACAATGGTTTCGTGTCATTAACGGGACATTTTTCTTCGGTTAATGTATTCAAGACCAGAACTCCAAAGGAGTCGTCTATATTGTCGAAGTTTACAACATCATTGAATGCAATTCTTTTCACCGGTCTAAGCGTAAAATTGTCTCCATTCAGTTTTGCGTCGTGTTGTAGGTCTCCATCTCGATAAACATTCACAGCAAACGTTGGGTTCTTCAAAATTAATGTTCTAAGGGCATTCGAAAGCAATACCTTGTTAATATGATGATTATACTGTCCAGTTAAGTTAATATTCTTAGAGTACGCTTCCACATTCCTACAGACGTAATATTTTTCAAAAAATCCGAGCTTTCTGGTATGTTGATCTTCACTCATTCTGATCCGCTTCAGCATAAATTTTCACGGCTATACCTTTTGTTACAATTCGATATTACTCCTTTCCAATAGTTTCAACACAATGCCAATTCAGGGTACCATTTTCCTCGAATCAGATGTAATTTTAAATATCGTTCATTCAAATAGGGGCTCTGCCAATTTTCACCGTGTCAATAACCATTGTCTGCCATAGTTTTGCAACCAAATATTACTCTCATACAAACAGCCGAATGGATTCATGGTATATATCCTTCTTTTAATCATTACGATGCAAACACAATTAAAAAGCATTGAATTGAAACAAGCAATTAGTACCAAACAATCTCAAGCACTTGTAAAAGATTTAGTGTCAATTTCGTTAAATTGTATTACTTTTTTGAGGAACATTTTTGGTGACGAAAACTATGTTGATAAGAAGTTTATTTGCAGTGAAAACCCCAATATTAAGAGTGGTTTTGTGAAAACGAAGCATTTAGTTGAAGGAATTTCAAAGGAGGCAGATATGTTCAAGAATTGGATTGATTGTGGTGTAAATAATGCTATCAGTTTACAATACTTACTGGCGCTTCAATTTGGTATTTATATCGATGAGAACCAACCAGAAACATTGAGCGAAACGTACATCTTCAAGTTTGATTACAATAATGGAAATATTTCATTTGGTATAAATGATGAAGAGAAATGTGAACCATTGCTGGAGTTGACTGCTCGTGAGAAGGTGCAGCAACTAATCAAACGATTAATTGTCTTGACTCAAACTTTCGGACCTTTACCAGAAAAGAAACACATATCCGTTAGGTTATTATTTAATGATAAATGTCCTAAAGATTATCAGCCTTCCTTTTTCAAGGACGCGTCAAACTTAGAGTCCCCTACTATAACAGTTGATGTAGGAAATTCGAGTAATAATATTGGCACACTCGATACTGGTCATGATAAAGTGAACATTAAAATTCTAACGAATGTGGGAGTACAGATCACAAACCCATTAAATGTGGATCCTTTTGACATGGTAGAAGATAATGAAAATTATGACCCGCATAAGTTTGAAAACCAAATTGAGTTCCCTAAAGCTAATAATTCGCTATCGTTGAACAAATACTTATTCTCAAACAAACCAGATAATATTCACTCTACTCAGCTTGTACCTCCGTCTCAACTGTACTACTCGGGAAATTTCAAGCTAACTTGCGAGTGTAATTGTTGGGGGTCTGCCTCACGCATTAAATTATCGATGAAGGGTTTTGCAATTTTAACTTGTCGCACTTGCCAGAGACAGGTGCATTCATGCTGTTATGGAATGAATCATTCGAAGCCTATTAAAAAATCATCTCATACTTTCAAATGCTATTCATGCATGTTAAATACCGATTCGCTCGATGAAGATTTGATACTCTTAATGAGATTGAGATACTTGTGGAAATATATGTCTTGTTATGATATTCCTGAACTGCTTGATTTATTTTATGATATATTCAGTTTGGCAACCAATGATGATGATGATGTGGTCCGAAAAATGTTGAATAAACTATTCCATGATAAAATTCTTATTGTATTAGATAAGCCTGTTATAGTCAGAAGAAACAAGAATGCAATGGGAACAGGATATTTGACACCAACTATAGATCTGCTATTAGACAATAAAGGAAATTCACTTGTCAAAAATCATACTTATAACATAGCCTTTACCCCAACTGTTAAATCTCCAAATTTAATGTGCCATACTGATAAGCAAATGTTTTATCTTCCGGACACATATAATACAAAAAGTCACATTCTTAGTTTATTGCAGGAATTTAAGACCAGTTTATTAAAGAATCAAGAATTTGATGATGATCCAATAGAATCAAGCAGCCCTATTTTTAATACAAAAACTTGTACTACTATAAATAGAGGAGAATTCACGAAACCGGTAGATCAAACTAGAACTAATCATTCCATTGAAAATCTAGTTGACGATGATATGGATGAATTGTCATTTGAGGACTCGTTAAATTTTCTTTCTCAGCGGGTTTACAATCAAGACTCAGAGGGTGTTAATTTTTTGCAAGATAAAGTAAATCAGGTTCATGTGCTGACATCTAAGAGAAAGTTGGATAGTAGTCTGATAATAGGCTATAAAGTCAAAAACCGGAAAATTAGTGTGAATGAAGATACATGTTTTTAATTCTGCCAAAAGTCTTTTTCAACCTACCAAGTAGTACAAATATGATCGTTTGTATATTTCAGAATATAGGAGTTTATAGATAATGCATATTTTAAATTTTGTGGTTGAGCTATCCTTTGCTTAATTGGTTTTTTAAAAGTTGTAAAATTTGCAGCATTTTGATGAATTGAATAATAATACTAAAATATCAAGTATCAATAGTTCAAATAATAACAGAACAATAATCTAGAAGCAAGCAACACATATTAGGTTGTTGACTTCTTCATTGAAACAAAACAATTTAATTTGACATGGATACACAGTTCAAATAGTTATTCATGCTATGAAGTCATTTTGTGTCATTTAAAAATTAGTGATGAGACAAAACTGTTCTCATAAGTGAATAACTACCAACAGAAACAATATTTTCCGTAATATTATAAGAATGGTGTCCGATATAATTATACCAGGAGATGGTATTTTAAATGATACGAATACGACCAAAACCACAATAGGTCCAGGTATATATAAGAACCCTCAAACCCAGGAAATAATTCCATCGTCAGCTGGGATCTTGAATGTTAAAACTAATAAACAAAATACAAACACAGTCATATTCACAGATTCTAATTCGAAAAGATATATACCACAGACTAACGATTTTGTTATTGGCATAATTGTGGGTGTTTTTGGTGAAAGTTATAAAGTCCAGTTGCAGGACTTTTCAACGAGTGTTCAGTTGTCAATGATGGCTTTTCCTAATGCGTCCAAGAAAAACAGGCCAAACTTAAAGATTGGTCAAGGAGTGTACGCTAGAGTATCGCAAGCAATCCCAGAAATAGATACAGAACTAGAATGTATTGATCCTATTACCGGTAAAGAAGGTGGGTTTGGATTATTGGACGAATCTGGTTACATCTTCAATATTAATTTAAATTTTGCAAGAGAATTACTATTCAACCAAAGTTCAGTATTTCTTGAGAAACTATCTACTAAATGTAAATTTGAAATTGCTATTGGTATAAATGGTAAAGTTTGGTTAAAATGCGGTGATGGTATTAAAAAACAGACTAATGACGCTGAAGAAGATGATAAAGAGAAACACTCAAGTTCAGCAAGAGATTTGAGGGCAACTTTAGCAGCTTGCAGATTTTTGACAAAGTGCCAACATATAAATCCTAATCAAATAGATATAGAATTGAAAGAAGCCTTCAAACATTTCTAATGTTCCCAATTCTATTATTCTCTAGATTAAGTTACTGCATTCAATGTCCCACATGGCATTCGGTATATGCATATATTTGTATATATAGGTGTATATTTGTATTATAGAATCAACTCCATCGACTATATAAATTTCGATGCGATCACGTGTTGGAATATGAAAAGCTGAAAAATTTACAAAACTGAAGTAGTTGCAATTACTCCGATAACTCGTGTAGTGAATAATTGAACTATGTCTGAAGGTTCTTTAGATAAGAACCAATTAGCAAGACAGCGGAAAAAGATTGAAAAAGATAGAAGAAGGAAACAATATGATGATTTGCAGGTTCAAGGAACAAATAATTCATCTATTGTGTCGAAAAGATCAGTTGAGATGATTTATACGTCAAAATTGAACCCAGAAATGGGAGAGTGGTTCAAGTATTTTGTCAAAAAGCCAAAAAGAAGATCTCCTGCTATTAATAGAGGTTACTGGATAAGAATGGAATCAATTAAACAAATGATTTTGAGAATAATTGCGTCTAGAGAAGATCCTAATCAAGAAGTTACTATTATAAATTTAGGGTGTGGTTTTGATCCGCTACCATTCCAGTTATTATCCCAGTTTGCAAAGACTGATAGTAATTTGAAATTGCGTTTTCTCGATGTCGATTATCCCGAGTTAATTGCAAATAAATTAGAAATGATTAAAAGTTCGCCAGAAATTTTATCCATATTGGGGGAAGAAATTAATGATTCCTCGATCGAGAAGTCAGTTGTGCCTTTTCTGAGTGAAAATTATAAATTAGTTGGATGTGATTTAAAAGACGGTAATTTATATGATCAACAATTGAATCGTTTGCTTGGAAATTCTTCATGCGTTAAGATATTTATCGCCGAAGTTTCTCTAGCTTACATGAAGCCAGAGTATGCCAATCCTATTATTGAGCATTCAGCCAAATTGGATAATTCACATTTCTTAATATTGGAACAAATTTTACCGGCTGGTGAATTTCATGCATTCGCTCAAAAGATGTTATATCATTTCAACCATTTAAGGAGTCCGTTACAATGTGTACAGACATATCCATTGAAGACAGATCAGGTGAATCGTTTCAAAAAGTACTATCCAAATGTTGAAATCAAGGATTTATACGAGAATTGGAAATTCCTTATCGACGATGAAATGAAACGTAAGATTAGAGACATTGAAGCATTTGATGAATGGGAAGAATTCATAATGTTTTGCCAGCATTACGTTATTGTACATGCTACCAACAGTTCAGTTTTTATTTACGACGATAAACCAATATCACAAAAAGAACTTGACGAACCATCTACTTCAGTTAAAGTTTCTTATCAGGAATCGAATAATTCAGAATTATTGCAATTGAAATTTCCAGCTGTTTGCGCAATAGATAATGAAGTCTTGATAAATGGAGGCTTGTTCCAGAGTCGTACGGGAAAAACATTATCATTGAAGAAAAATAGTCTTGAAGTAAAGAACGCCGACGGAGACGAGCCAGGTCCAAGGATGTGTCATACGTTGACTGCGCTCAATGATAATGAGTCAATATTAATTGGAGGAAGGTCTAGACCCGAAGAGTATTTTCTGGATGTCTATAAATTGGATAGAGACCGGTGGACTAAATTAGAAAAGTTACCAAACAAGAGGTCTAGACATTCAGCCGTGAAGTTATCGGACCAAGATATATTGATATTTGGAGGTTTACAGGAAGAGAATAAAGATAGTAACAAACTATTCATATTGTACAATTGTGAAAGCCAACAATACAAAGAATTGAAAATTGAAGGTTGTCTTCCCAACCTATCCAGCTGTTCTATGGCCTATAATGACCAATTGAAGTTCGGACTTATCCTAGGTGGTATGATAGATACAACCGTTCCGACAGTTAACGACTGCTTGTACAAATTTGTCATTAAAGATGATACTTTGGTAGTAGACGTCATTTACCAACACTCGCACCTACTGAGAGTATCATGCCAAATCAGACTCTTATCTAATAATAAATTGCTTATTATAGGTGGAATATCGCCATTGGAGATATTTAACCAGCAGAACACTATTCTTCTTTTTGATATAATTACTTCCAAATTGCATCCAATTGAAATTGACCGTGATATTTGGGTGAACCATCCACCAATTTTTATCGGGTTTGGAAAAGCCGAACTCGAAAATTCTGTTATATGTATCGGCGGAGGTGCAGTGTGCTATTCATTTGGTAGTTGCTATAACGGTATCTATAAACTTGATTATGATCTCAATAACTAAGTCTGCCCAGTTACGAACCGATTTATATGCATAAAATACATGTACATAGATTCTTCAATTTCATCATCATCTTACGTATTTAAGTTCAACGCAGTATTATAAAATCAACTGAGTTGACGCTAACTGTTCTACCGTCTTTGGGGAACATATAGACGCAATACGACCTTTCATCCTTCAAAAGTAAACATTAGTGGTGTGATAGTTATTCACATTACTACAAAGTTATTAAGCGAATTTTTGCGGCTAAGTGGGAAAGCAATAATTTATAACACATTTGAGGATAAATACAAATTATCTTATTGAAATTTTACAGTGTAAGTTAAACTTGTTCGTCTCATCGTCCATTTATAATGGCAATTGACAGGGGAATTAAGGACGGATCTGACACGAGTAAAATTGCTAGTGATGATTTAAATTCTGCTTGCAAAAAATCTGGAACTACCACTGATACAGCTGTGAAGAATCTTAAAGATGAAGAACCAGCGGGATTCCCATTCAAGCCCAGCCTTCTTAAGGATGATAACAAGAACTCGTTATCATTGAAATTTATAAACAAACCTAGTCGATCCAAAGATTTGTTTGCTCAGGCTTCAGACCCTACGCGTGCTAATAGCATTTTAAATTCCCATATATCAAATGAATCGGGCACTACAAGTGAAGGGGATACAGCAGATACATCTCCTAGCACTGAAAACATTGAGCATCACGGATTGATACGGAAGAAATCAGGCGAATTTTTAAGGCTGTCGTTAAAGGATAGTCGTAACAGCTCCTATTTTGATAAGAAGAGATCGCGTTCCTTGCCAACAACTCCAACCTATAAACAAGTTCATTTTGGTGGAGACAACGATATAATATATTTCAAGAAGAAAGATAGGCCAGCGGCGATTTCTGCATCAAATTCACCTACTTTGCGTGGGGTGGAAGGGTGCTTTAGAAAGTTACAAATGGGGAGTGAAGATGACGACGATGACGACGATGATGATTACGAGGATGATTATGCAAACGTGGACCACGATCAGGATTGCTTTACCCTTGATTTAAGTTCGTCGGGATCAACTACTTTTCCCGGTGCCGATCATGAAAAGTCGGTATTCTGGGATTTGCAATTACCAAACTTCCCGCCGTTATCGTACGATCGCCAGATAAAAGTCCGAGAGTCGCCAGTTTTTTTGGAACGTATATTTATTAGTGTCGATAAGAAGTTCTTGCTCGGCCATATTGCGGTCAAAAACCTAGCATTTGAAAAGTTTGTTACCGCTAGGTATACGTTAGACAATTGGTGCACAATTGTTGAAATTCCCACAATCTATGCTCCTGATAGCCCAAAAATCTTGAAATCCAACAATTATGATAGATTTATCTTTCGAATTCTGCTAGATTCCTTATTCAATAGTTTTAGGATGCCAAGAAGTAATGATCAGAGTTGCAACAAATCCCAAGAACAGCACTATAGTCTATGTATCAAATATAATACCAATTTCCTTGAATTCTGGGACAACAACGAATCTAGAAATTATGATTTTAATTTAATCAAGACAACAAAATCAAAAAAACCAAGCTCCTCAAAGATTGGAACACATAATAACAAACCAAAGTATTCATCCTCATACTTAAAGAGAAGAGTATCAGATTCGCAACTAGAGATGCAACCAAAGAAATCTGAAGAAAACATCGAAAATAATTCGTCCGATTTTTCAAATGGTAACGACTTTGTTAATAATGACTTTTACTTACTGTCTCCATTGTTATCAAGCCTTAACAATTCAAATTATGAAAACGATTTTTTACATAATTATTCTACTGACACATTAACGTCATATAGATCACCATCAAAAAACTTTTCTCAAGGACAGGATGAAGTTTATGATCCAATTCGTAATAAAGAGGATATTAAGGCCAGAGAGGATGATAAGTCATTCAGAGCCAACATGTTGGACTCTAAATCTTACAAGGAGTTGCTTGATACATACTGCTTTTTTTCTACAAGCCCCGAGGATGATACAAACTCTTCCGACATTTTACTGTCGCTGTCTCCACCTAGAAGTTCATTATCTACTGGTTCGGACAAGAATGAGATATCTGAATCATCGAATATCTTTGGATCGAATGATAATAATACTCCTTCAGCGAAAGCTGATTTAACTCATAAGAAGGCCAATTCTGATTCTAATAAGGAAAAATCTGATGGCAATAATAATTCTTTAACGGTATCATCGATATTAAAAGCTTAAACGTTGGCGGTTTTTACCCGTCGCTGTATTTTGCAACTTTTTTTCTTTTTTTTTCTTGTTAACTGGCTTAATTATAGAACTATTGGTTAATATTTCTTTTACAGCATTCCACTCTTTGTTTCAATTCCGAACATGTTTTATAGATCCTTGAATATGTCCTACATGTATGCTTAATAATTATATTTTATTGCTTTAATACCATCTAAACAAATAATACTAAATCAAACTAAAAAATAAACTATCCATAAAATTAAAACTCCTTTTCAACTCTAGTTGTTCAAATGAACATTCCTTAACATTAATCAAAACAGTACATTTTAACACACCCATTTTCCAAAGCGGCTGCAAATCTCGAATCGCTTAAACCAACACAACTAACAATCGAATTATTTCCAAAGGTATGTAAACATTTACCATTTTGTAAATCCCATACCTTAATTAACCTATCATGAGCACCACTGATAATTCTAAATGTATCAGCACTAATAGACCACACTCCTTCAATATGACCAAACTGAGTTCTAATGCACTTACCTGTTCTAACATCCCAAAGTTTAATTGTGTTATCTAGAGATGAAGTTAATAAATGAGTTGGATAATTTTTATTGTCAGCCAATTGGGTATTGTTGATCTCCTCATTATTTAAATCTTCCTGATTGGCATTTAAATTATTATTGGAAGCATCTTCATTATTTTCTCCATCGCTCTCATTATTATCTTGTATTAATTTATCTTTATAAATTAATGGGATCACACATTGTACATGACCCAAATGCCCGTTATTATCAACCCCTCCAAAAATTCTTAAACATTGGTTATTTTGCAAGTCCCACATTCTAATGGTGGTATCATCAGAAGCGCTGAACGCTGTGTTTGATAAAGGATGAATCTTTACTGAATTGACCCAATCCGTATGACCTCTTAATGTATAACAAGTTCTTGAATCAACATGCCATACCTTGACTGTGTGATCAGCTGAACCGGAAACAATTGTCTTATTCAGAAAATCAACACTCACTACAGCAGCGTCATGACCTCTGTATGTCGAGATACATTCACCAGTATGGTAGTTCCAAACCTTAATCGTAGAATCCAAGCCACCAGTTATCAATTTTTGAGAATCAAATACCAACGATCTTATTGGCTTCGTATGTCCAGTTAAGGTTCTCAAACACTCGCCAGTCTCTACTTTCCAGATTTTAACAGTATTATCATAGGAGCCAGTCATAAGATACTTTCTATTAAATTGTAAGCATGTAACTCCATCCGTGTGACCTTCAAACGTTTTGATTTTATATATACCCTTACGCCAATTCTTTTCCAACTTAAATCTTTCACTATAGACCGATTTCCATGGCCTCTTCTTTAAGAGTTTGCGTTGTTTGTCTTGTTCTTCTTGTGTAACCTTCATCTTTTTAATTTCTAATTCCACTTCCGAACTGTTAAATCCATTTGACGACTCCACAGTCTCAAACTTTCTCTTTTTGTTATTATATTCATCGTTATTCATATTTCTCGCTCTTTGCATATGCATTAATGGCAAACCCCACCCACAATTTGGACACTTTCTATCTATATGTTGTTCACACATGTGATGCCACACCCGGTCATCATCAGCAAGACATTTCCATTTTCTTGATACTTGTGCAGCATTACACAACGATGCACAGTCAAGGTAACACAATATTTTTAACGATATTTCCATAGGCAAGGTGGAAATGAAGTCAATCTTGATTAATGAACTCACCTCTTGCGATATAAATGATAACTGGGGAAAACAACACTGACTCAACAAGCCTTGCAATATTAACGACCTATGTGGGTCAGGCGCGGCACTGAAAATAGACCACACATGATTTATCGCTTCCTGGTCACTCGATGGCAATTTCTCCATCTGTTTCTGTATGTTCTTCATCTTGACTTCATCAGTTTGTTTATTGCAGGTCACATCTGGATTATGTCTGTAGCAATACCGGTGAAAATTGTCCTTGGGTATCATGGATTGGTCACTAATATGCTTCACCAAAAACGGCGTTACTACCGATACCTTACTCTCTGACTGCGACGCTTGAGGTAAAGTATTTATTTCTCTCACATCCTCAACACTATCCCCCTGAGTGTGGTTATTGTGCTCATTTATACTCAGACCGCCCTCTCCATTCACATTGCTAGAAGACTTTTTGTGCGGCAATACACTGCTCGAAAGTATATTATCGAAACTCTCAGTGGCCGAATACAGCAGCGGCACCTTATGCTCTCCATATTTGGTATCCTTAGGAACGCAAATATCTTGTAAATTCATTTCTTCTAGTAAACCAAACTCTTGGTTCCCTAATATCCAGCTATTTCTTACTATGTGCAAATAAAACTCTCCTAGTTTATTGTCTTCAAAATTATTCTAAAATTAACCCTAATAGTACCGATGCAAATTTATCGTACTTTTCTCCCTAATAAATACTCTCAGTAAACAAAATAAGCAGCTTAACACCCTGAAGTCTTTGTACGACCTATTGTAAGCAACTATTTAATATATATAAAAACAAATACTTACAAAACGTTACCAAACCATACAAAATGTACCTAATTTCTGTGGCTTCATAATGCCGTGGCTTGTTACACAAAATCGCCACCATAGTTATGATAGTCCAAGACCGTTTATTATGTGCAACCATTGATGACCTCGCGCTGCGAACCAATCTATTCTAGAGCCGTAGTGTGGAAATTCGGGTCCGACATTACCAATTTGGTGCTGGTTCCACGGCCCTGCCATATCTAATTATGGTTTGGTATATCGCCGTCCTTGTGGCACACTGCGGCATCATTAGAGGACGATCGAGTATGGCATCAATTACGACTTACCTGATCATGTTACAATAGGAGACGTAGAGTCTATACGTGACGCAATGTGTGCATTGCTTCTATGGAACTACGGGGTCAGGCTGCCCATGCAAATATGTGGCTACTGAAGGTCGCATTCTTATCAGTGGGGCAACACCAGGATCGTGAAGAACCAACAACAACAAGAACATGAACATAAACGGTACAAGGGGGAATGCTAACACCGGAAATGACCATAGTGGACCTCCCTACCATGAGCCTGGCGACGTATGATAATGCCCAGGGTGTAGAAGAGTCTTGGTTGGGCATTTGGCGATTTTCACGTGACTTGCTTACTAAAATTTTTTTTTCTTCTTCACGAAGATGAGCTTGGATCATTCTAGAAGAGTATATACTTAAGGTATAAAGAGAATGAAAAGAGCAGAAGAACAAGGTTCGAGTCAAGAAGAGAAGAAACAACGTTTGAGCATGTCAGAAGAAAACAAAGAACTTTTCACCAATGTGGGAGAACAAGTTGATACTGTTGAACATCCATCTCAAGACGGTGTGAGACAAACAGGAGCGGCCGATGCTGAAGGACACCCGGTTCAAGAAATTGAGTCAATGTGTATGAATTGTCATAAAAATGGGACTACCCGTTTGTTGTTGACCAGAATTCCATTTTTCAGAGAAATCATTATTATGTCGTTTGAGTGTCCACACTGTGGGTTGAAGAATTCAGAAATTCAGCCGGCAGCCCAGATTTCTGAAAAGGGATCTCGTTATGTGTTGAAGTTGGAAAATAAGAAGGATTTTAACAGACAGGTTGTCAAGTCTGAAACAGCTACGTGCAAATTCAATGAGTTGGATATCGAAATTCCACCTAAGAGAGGCCAATTATCCAATGTTGAAGGGTTATTAAATGAGATGGTGGACGATTTAGAATCGGACCAGGAAGCCAGAAAGGAGCTTCAACCAGAAGTCTACGAGAAAATCAATGAAGTTATTGCTAAAATTAAATCTTTCGTCAATGCGGAACCAAATACTTTGCCGTTGACTGTGTCTGTCGACGATCCAGCCGGTAACTCGTGGATTGAATATCTTCCAGATGAGCCTTCTCACAAGTGGTCGATGTATGAATACAACAGAACTGCAGAGCAAAATGTCTTCTTAGGTTTAATTTCGGCTGATGAGGTCGCTCAACACCGTAAAGTGGAATCGGAAAACAAAAAGGCTGCAACCGCCAGCAACGTTTCTTCATCTTTGGCCAGTAATCCTAAGACATCTGGCTTTATTTCTGATACCAGTGAAATTGAAAATATGGATAATGAGGTGCAGACCTTTCATGCCACTTGTTCTTCATGTCTTAAATCTTGTGAAACCCACATGAAGACTGTACATATTCCTCATTTTAAAGAAGTCATTATCATGTCTACCGTTTGCGATAACTGTGGTTATAAGTCTAACGAAGTCAAGACTGGAGGAGAAGTTCCTGAAAAAGGTAGAAAAGTTACCTTAAAGGTAAACGATCCAGAAGATTTGGCTAGAGATATTTTGAAGGGTGAATCATGTGGCTTAAACATTCCTGAATTAAATCTTGATTTAACTCCTGGTACATTAGGTGGTAGGTTTACTACTATAGAAGGTTTGTTGACACAAGTTTACGAAGAATTACATTCCAGAGTGTTTTCTCAAACATCCGACTCTATGGATGATTCCACGAAAACCAGATGGACAACCTTTTTCGCTAGATTACAAGATGCTATTGAAGGTAAAATTGGATTCACCGTTGTCATGGAAGACCCTATGGCCTCTTCATATATTCAAAATGTTTATGCGCCTGACAATGATCCTAACATGATTATTGAAGACTTTGAAAGAACTCATGAACAGAATGAGGATTTGGGTTTGAATGATATGAAAACAGATTAATTATATAAAGTTAAAAGTGTATATTAGAAATTATAAATAATCTCTTGAATGATTTTATATAGTGATGTAAAACTTTAAGTTTCAGAATCCTATTCCTCTTTATTCGCATCCTTATTGGTTTCAGTTTTTCTATCAGACTGAACTTCTCTGAATGCATCACCCCATTGAGAATTCTCTAATGTTTCGCCAAGGTTCGAAAGATCTATCAATGAAACGTTAGCATCAGTCAATGCGTCATCATCGATCTTAGCAGAGTTTAGGAACGGTGATATATTAATCGCATCATCAATAGGACTCGTTGGACTGGTACCTCGTGATCTCGTGTGGGATGACGGTATTTGAATATATAACTTCGGCGGTATTTGACTTTTAGATTTTTTTTCAGGAGATTCATGATTATGTGCTCTGTTCCTGGAGTTGTAAATATGCAACGGTGATTTTGGAACATATACTCCACTTGTTGTCCCTTCATTTTCATTATCATCCTCTTCCATATATTCCGACGACTTTGTTAAAGGAAATGTCTCATCTTCCTCCCTATCAAACGAATCATAACTGTCATTGGTATCCGTAACAAATATAGAAGGGGCATTAACGTCCAAGTTTTCGTTAGCTAAATAGCTATTTCTTTTGATCCCATTGCTGAAATCTATATTAGTATCCCTAATACCTTGGTTCCTATTCTTTACATATTTCCAGCGACATGCATATGAAGCAATTGTCTCATATACTCTCTTAGTATGTAATCTTTTTTCGACTTTTTGAACCAAAAGGCGACGATCCAAGAAGTCAATCAAATTAAGACACTGGCCAGCTTCAAATGAGGTATATAATGGTAATTGCAAGATAATTTTAGTAAATGAAATTCCAGGATCGCCATTAAGTTCCATATTCATAATAGCTTCTTCCATGAATCTTTCGTATGCTTTACGTCTCTCTCTAATTCTAGGAACATCCATTAAACTTAAGGTTTGATCAATTGCTTTATAATTCACAGTTATATCATATGGATCATCTTTTTGATTACGTTTGAACCATTGACGACATAAAACAGGAATTTCAAGTGAACCTGAATAAAAATGAAAGGCTAAAGCACCATCCAATGAATGTAAAAATTTTGGTAAATCAAAGGGCCTGATATATCCCGATCCTTCTGGATCAAATTTCTGCCACGCCCTTTTAAACTTTCGTATCTCCTCTCGTTTAATTAAATGGCTGTATGACGACCTATTATTAATATAGCTGAAGCTATCAATAATCAATGAAACGAACATATTCAAAAATATGTACATCGATACCACATTCCACAGCATAAACAAAATGTAAGCATATTGCCTACTACCACAATCACTGTCATCTATAGAATTGATTGATGAGCAATATGGTTCAACTAATGTAAAATCTTCCATAATAAAGTTCCAACCTTCCCCAAAACTACACCTAAAAAGTAAAATTAGGGCTTTTGGAACTGACCTCAAGTTGATATTATTTGACGTATTAGGGCCCACTTTCGTTAAACCAAAAATTTGATTCATAGCTATAGCAAAGACCAAGAAGACAATAATCCACGTGAACGATAAAGATAGCAATGTAGGTAAACTGGCCGAAGCAAACCTCAATAATTCACTCAATCTATTGCTTCTAGGAATAATAAACGTTAAAATACCTACCAAGAACAATTTATTGAAATTGAGGAATGCATTTTCCGAACTCACAAAAAATGCAATAATTGAAGTTAAGAATGCTCCTGAAGAAATAAAAAGATTAAAGATATTCCATTTATATCTAATGAAAGTCCTGGCACCTTGTCCAATAAATAGCATAAGCGCGTTAATCAAGAACAACAGCGCAGCGATCATATAAATCACAGCTCTGAATGTATCTAACCCATCATATGAAGGGAAACATTCTAATAGCAAAGCCAATACATGCATTAGCAAAACAAAATTCAATGTCTCATGCCAATACGTATTTCTTTCCACAGTCATGGAGTAGCAAAATTTCTGAAAGAAAGATAACAGATTGAAGTCCTTTCTTTTTGAAGGCCTAACCTGTACTAAGAATTTCTTGACTTGATACCAAGAAATTTGGTCTTTTGTCATATATGCCCTACCCGTGGTCTTTGAATAGTTACTGATAATGACCGAGACGAATAATGTCAAAATAAACACAATACTCGTAAAGTTAAACAACACAACAAAAAAGCCATTAAAAGGGGATGCAAAATCTTCAGGTGGAGTACCAACACCGGTGCTTTTCATCACATCCAATAATAGATCCACCCATCCTTCTAACGAAATAATTTGAAATAATGATGAGAAAGAAGTTCCAAAATCATCAAATCCCAAATACGGATTAGTATACACGTTAGGACTCATAACATTCCAATTAAATACTTGATTCTCATATTCATGAATGCAACCTGTTTCATAAGATTCACCGTCAATGCAATGTCCTAATCTACCATTGAAAATGTTTAAACCCCAAATTGCGAAAGGAAATAATAAACAGAGAGAAATAATGGCAGCATTAATAATTTTCCAGAATCCTGAAATAATTGTATTATGGAAATTATTTTTTGCTGTTTCACTAATAGTCAAAAGTCTCAAGGCTCTTAAAGCTTTCAATCCTCTAACAATTCTAGATAGATTTCCATCATTTTTTAAAGTAGCAATAAATTCAATCCATAATGAAATTAAGACTATTACATCAATAAAATTCCAAGAAGATCTCAAATAGGCGTTAGGTGTAAATATCAACCCATCCGCGATAATTCGAATAAAGAATTCAATTGTGAATAACGCAACAAATCCAATCTCAAGAAAAAATGTAAAGTTCATAAAGCCATATTTAGAAACCATTTCTTTCCTGAACAATGGTGTAAGATAACAGGCTGTGACAACCAATCCTATCGTAGCTAAAAACATTACCACTATGAAAGTTTCAGAAACTGTTTTATTTGGTTCTACTCCGTCAATTCTTTCACCATAACTAGACTTAACAAGACGTTGGCACATTCTTCTTAGTCTATGACGAGGGCCCAAGACGTAGAAAACATTATTGAATTTTGGATTTTCTTTCAAGAATTTATTCTGTTTTGAAATTAGTATATTTCTTTCTGAAATAATATTTTGCGCAAAATGAGCAGGATCAAAGTTGGTAATTTCAGGTTTCTTACTTTTCGATGCATAGAATGGGTTTCTAAAAAAACTTTTTGTACGCCAATAATTCACCTGAAACCATCTTTTCCAAGAAGATTTGGGTAAGTTTTTAATTTCTGTATCATCCGTTATATCGTTGTCATTAGCTTCTGTCTCTAAGAAATCATTTACCGCAGTACCACTCAAAAGCAAATTAACAACAGCTTTCTCTAATTCATGCTTTACGCCTCTCTTTCCAAATACTTTATTCTTCATTTTTGTCAACATTCCAGGTTCATTTTCTAGATTTTGTAACCTTTCTGTCATATTGTCGATAAACTGAATTAGCTGTTGTTTCCTCTTACCTTCTTCGGAGACTTCTAAAGTTTTAGCAATAACCGCAATGAAAATATTTAAAATAACCATATTGGATATTATAAACCACCCAATTAAAAGCATTGCACCAAAAGCTCTCGAGGACGTTGTCGAAGAGAATTCTTGTAGAGTATATAAAACATCCGTCCAATTTTCTGTTGTTGTAATAACATAGAGAGCAATAAACGCATTTGGTAGAGTATGCATTGGAAAATCAATATCATCAAGTTCATCCCTCGGTATAGTGCCTTCGAAAAACCTGGAAGTGATAATGCTAGCTAAGAAAGTAAGAATGAAAAAGAACAACGCTAAATCAAAAATCGCTTTGAAATTACCCATTATCTTCAACCAGAGCTTTCTTGTTATATTCGTGGCTAAGACCACTCGATAGAATCTCAATAATTGGAAGATGGTCAACCAATAATAAGCATGGCCTAGCTTTTCTTTGACTGGCCCAATAATAATTATAGTTGTAATGACAGCTAAGAATAAATCAAAACAATTTCTTCTGGAGATAAAAAATAATCTCCAATTTGGAAAATGAAAACCAAGACGAAGTACTATCTCAGCAAAGAGTATCCCTGTAATACTAGCTTCAAACCGATACAAAATATGACGCCTATTATTGTCCATATTAAAATCGCGAAAGCACTGAGTGAATAAACTGACAACTATGAGGATCACAAATATGAATTCAAATTTATAATAGTACTTCAAGAATACGTTTTGCTTCTTGAGCAAATTCAACCTCTCTGTATGTAAGGATACTTCCTGGTTTGCCGAACCGAAAATCTTCCACGTTCTCTTTCCATTCCGTTGCTGTTTCTTCTCTTCAGCAGCCTCTCTTCTAGTGATGGTAAAAGATGCAACAATTACAGCGACAAAAACATTAATCAACCAAACTGTTAAAATGAAGATGGCAAATATAAAAAATAAACAGGCAGCCATATTATCTGAGTTCATCGTATCATACATCAAATCAGTAAACGTGTTAGCACTCATGATTACAAACACTAATTCCATCGATTGAAGAATATTATCGAAGCTTACAGTTCCACCATAAGGATTTTCGTCACTTATACATTTTGAGTATTTAGGGCATGTAAATCCCTTTTTCGAACTTGAATGCAGCCCATCTCTTAGAATATAAGGCATAGCTTTTCCATTTAAGTCGATGTAAGACCCACAATATTGTCCCTCGTTAATGTAAGTATCATTAGAATCATCTGGATTAAACCAAACACACTGTCTTGTGAAGGAAGACTTGAAAGATTGGACACCAATAATTCCAAAGAATAACCAGAAACAGCAAATAAAGATTGAAACATCAATTAATTGTGGAATAGCTACTTTACAAGCCGTCAATATCGTTGTGGTACCAGTAGTCAAATTACACAATCTCAAAATCCTTAAACAACTCAAAGCTCGAAATAGCATGATATGATGTTTACTATCATATTCATTAATTGATAATAATAACGAGATCCAGAAGAACATCATCGAAAGAAAATCTATCCTATGCCAGCTATTTCTTAGGAAAGCTCTTTTTAAATGAAGTTGGTCAATATTTTTCCCTCTTGGTTTCGACAATAAAAGTGTATTCTTTACATCGAACCTTTGTGAATCCAAAACAGGTTCGTCAACCAAATCCAGACTATCACTATCATGTTCTTCTAAAATATTAGTCGATGTCTCATTATGCAAGTTTGTATCGCTGTATTTTTTTTGGATATTCATCGATGGATCCACAAATGGGTTACTAACTTTATGTTCTGGTAGATCAGTATTTGTTGGTGCTTCTTCACCAAGATTGATTTCCTTTACATCAACATCATCACTTGAATCATTCATTCCATCAAATGAATTTTTCAAGTGTTGTGGTGGAATATTCGTGTTGTCACTTCTTTTTGGAGCCAATTTCAATAATCCTAATATGCGTAGAAAACTTTTAATGTATTTCAGATTAAAGTACAGAATTTTAACGTCATTTTCTGGATAAACTAAACCCAATTCTTTAAACATAGCATGATCATCAATAAATCCATACGCAATAATTTTGGCGAAGACTTCGATTGTATAAATTATGTTAATGACCATCAAAATATAATCAGCCCAGTTATATCCTGCGTAATAATAACCACCTAAATGAATGGGGTTCCATTGCCTGTATGAAAGTAATGCAGTTTGCAAAAGAAGCAAAACTAATAGAAGTAAATTAGTTGAACGGTGTGACAGAATTCTATGACAGAGAAGACGTACACTAGATTGGGGTGAAAAAAGTTTCAAAGATTTTCCAAAAAAGTACATTGTCCTAGTATCAGTAAACGTACCTTTTTTAATTGGTTTGTCTAAATTGTTATTTTCAGTGTTTAATTTTTCAGGAGCAAGTTGCAGTAGTATTGGCTTATGTGAAGATATGACAGGTGATGGTTGTGAATTCTTATTTCGCAAGGAATCTGTACTCAAATATGAATCCTTATTTAAAAAGAGCCCAAGGCCTTCTGATGCATTCGTCCCTTGAAGATAATTTTCATTCTGAAATTCATCAGTTACAGTTACATCTGGTAAATAATTAGGGGCATAAGAAGCGTTATCGGACCCATTATTATTATTGGAGGCTGAATCAGACCCATTATTATTGGAAGCTGAATCAGACTCATGCTGCGAAAACAGAGTAGTCCTGCTCATTGGAGAAACAGGGCTTTGTCCTTCACTATAAGCACTCAAGCGTCTAGGGCTCTTCGATGGAGATGTTGTCGTTGGAGAGGTTCCCGTCCTATTTCCTGCAATACGATCAGACAATCTAGTAAGCACATTTGATATTTTAGAATGCGGTGGAGCCGATCCTGAAGTAGGTGTCAAGTGACCCGCTTCTAAGAGATCAGGATTAGTAGTATCATTAAAACTAAATGCAATGTCTGAAGTAGGCGTGGTAGGGCCAAAGTCGGGTTGGTAGTGTGTTGGATCGTCGAATGGAGACAAATGCGCTGATTTATTGGTATCTCGATTAAACGGATTATTCATCCGTCCAGGACTCAAGTTATCTAGCTGAATCGTGTCCGTGTACCCTTCGTCTGTAGCAGATGTGAGATCTTGTGAGAGATTATCTGATGACCCATTCTGATTTTTTTCAGACCCCGATTTTGGATCCGGTGTTACAGGAAACCAGTTGGCTCCAGAATCAGCCGTTCCTAATGCAAAACCCAATCCTTCTTTTAATGCTTCAAAATTATGCTCTTTGGCCGCTTTATTAATAAATGACGTTTCTTCTATAACTGGCGTATTCAGCCCCGATGTGTTATGATTCTTTTGCGTTTTTAACGACAAGTTTTCGCTAGATTTACCTGTAGACGAACTTTTCTTTGTCGATGGGCGCCGTCTCGTCTGGCTCATTTCTGTCTTGAATGACTGGATGCTTTCTGCATCGCCTATTGATGACAGCCTCATAGACGTTCTCCTTTCGCCAAGTATCGCTCTACTAGCATTTCCCTCTAAAGAATCCTCGCTGGGTGACCGTACGTATATATCTGGATGTGAATGTCCTATTCCTTGATCCATTTTGATCAATATATCCCAATGGTCCCGATTTAATAATTATGAAACCTCAAATCTAATGCTGACTCCTTATCAGTTTTTTTTATTAATAACCTCCTTATTGATCTAGTCTCTAGATCTTTATGTCTATGAGTATAATTTCCGGTAAAATATCCCTAATCTATCAGTACTTGAAAAAAATCCTACTTTCTATATTTAACTCTAGACCTCAGTCTATAGAGGCTTGTAGATCTTCTATAGTAATTTTTGTGTCATTTTCCGTAATTTGCTCAAGATGGTTTAATCTGACATAGTTTCTACCGCTATTGATTATTAATGAAAGTGGGTTCTCAGGTTTACAGTATACATAAAGGTTTTCAGTATCTACGTTTAATACGTTTTTAGAGGGTGGTTTGATAATGATCATGATATCTGAGTAGTGATAACCAGGCACTAATCTAACCTACATACTCATTTTGATGCTTACACGTTAGAAGTTTGGGTGTATGGATGTAAATTTAATATCGTTATTGATACTGATCTGGTTCCTTTTCTACATGTAATAAAAATGAGATTATTGAATGTGTAATGACGTGAATACAGATATAATTGCATCTTGGGAAGTATAATAAGCCCCTTCACTCTTAAAATTTGGTTTACGCGGCTGCTTATGGCGACTGCAAAATTCTCGCAGTATAATATTCAAGAGTATGATGAATTAGGTTTTTCGCTTGATATATAGTCAAAGGGAATACATATGAGTTTTCGTTTGCTTTGGAACTGCATGAGTCTATTTGGCGTTATTGGAGAGAATATGCGAGGCAATATGGGATGATTTACCCTGGTTTAGAGCCATTTTGTATTTGTTTTTCTACTGAAGAAACGAAAAGAATACTACGTATGTCAACTTGGTCACTATTGTTGTTTTAATGAATTTTACTGATACGTTTCGTTACATTCAAGTTCCGTCTGGTGGTCGTCTACAAAATTACCAATAGAGAACTTATAAACTTCGATTAACAAATATAAAAGTTTAAAGACACAATTATTATGATTCAAACTCTGATTGAGAGCAGATCAATAGGTGGACTGATATACATTGCTTCGTACTAGATCAGTTTTCATAGCGTTTAGCCACTTCCTTGCAGGCATTGAGAAGTGGTATCTAAGTATCAATCTAACCTGTAACCCTATATTATTGATGTTTTACATGTTAGTGTTCTATATTAATTACGTAAGCAACGATGAAAATTGAAAAGTTGAAAGACATCCAGTGGAAGAAGAGAAGTAATAGTCTTCAAGTGTCCATTATGTCGTCAATATTGAAGAGATTACCGTCCAAAGAGAGGATACAACAGGCCAAGAAGCTTAGTGCCGAAATATTTGGAAGTAACTGGAATCCAAACAACGTAAGAAATGGATCGAACGTTTTGAGAGCACCATTGAAAGGCCCACAAGTTGCCTCGTACTACGGTGACAATAATACTATGCCAACATTTAAGGACTTCAAGGAATGGTTTCCAGAATTAGGATTTGTCGATCCAAAGGAAGTGTATCGTGTTAAGATGGTCCAGGATAGAAAGAAGAGAAATAAGGGTGCACCAAAGAAAAAGTCCAGTTAGGAGTATACGAGGAGGTGGATTCTATTAGTATATTACTTGTATATATATATGTTGCCTTCGATCAGGTGGCACAATGCTATAATAATTATCGTTTAGCTCTTTTCTGTAGATTGAAAGTATCAGTTACGTCGTCGGTATTTTCCGTGAGACTCGGCCGGTTGTAGTTGAATCTATTGCGCTTGATCCTTTGGCCTTTGGCCCACTCCGAGTGTTGGACATCCTTCATAAGCCCCATGACCTTGGAGTTGTCTTCCTGGTATTGAAACCTCTTCATAATGGAGAAATTCGAATCGTCTTCGTTGGATGTCTGCCCCACATCTTCACTTTTATTGGCATACGTGATTATTTGCCAATTGATATGTTCGCTTCTATCGTAAATAATCAATAACTCTGTGGCTTGGTTCTTCTGGAACACGAAAATATCTCTAATTTTGGTGGGAATAGTGTTAGGGTATAATACTTCTAGCGAACGTTTTGAAAAGTCGTACGCCGCTATATGATCGTCTGTTATAATTAGGAACTTTACCTCTTCACTTCCAGTCTTAAATAATTTCAAAGACAAGACCTTTGAGGTTACGTGGATTGCTGTCTCCAATTCATAAATTACGTTTTTATTCACTGAGGTAGCGTCTTCCACGAATATTTTATACAAAAGTATAATATCCTCAACTTGTAAGCATGCCCAGTTAACAGTTTTAGTATTCTCAACTAGAAAGTTCTTTAATTTACAACTACTCTTTAATAGTAATGTTTTGTTTAATGTTTTGCGGTACCGTATATTACGGGTAGATGGATCACGGAACTGTTTCCAGACATTATAAACAGGTGCATCTGGGACTAGTGACCTATTGATAATTCCAAACGATTTAATAGAAACAAGGATTAACTCTATCTTGCATGAGTCTTCTGTATGTACTGTGCTTGCTATTAATAGGTATTCGGCGTTGTTCGCTGCTATTTGTATCCATTGTGAAAGATACTCCACTGAGCCATATGATATTAACGAATTCCTTTGCTGGTGGTCAATAACACCTTTATTTAAGTAATCCAAACTTATAATAGGATCACCAACAGGTATGTCCGATATCTGGTTGAATGGATTCCTGTACACTCCTAGGGCATTATAAATTTGCAAATCGAAGCCAAATAGACAATCGATGAAATTTAAATTGCAAAGCCATTTTCCTGAACCCGACCAATTGACCAGAGTATGCGATGTGTTCGTAGAGAATTTGAACTTATACAATAAGCTGCTTATAGACCCTTCGTTATAGAAGTGATAGATTACCGGCGCTGCATCTGATGCTACTGGGAGTCCCGAGTTTACGACCAATGACCAAATCGTATTATTCAGCCCAGGCCTAACTAAGACCTCGTCCGAAATTGGTCTGTCTATCTTCCATAACATATGCGTACAATCAAGTGAAAATAACTTTACTTGAAGTCTATGTTTGGTAAACACCACCAACTGCTTGCAATTCGTGTATGCTCCCGGTTTGTCACTTTTGTCCTCTGTATCATTCTCTGTTGGGGGAATCCATTGGAAATCTTCAATTCCTTCATTATGCGTTTGATGTATCACAATCGGATCTGACTTTTCCCTAATATCACATATAAGTAGCATGGAAAGCTTCTCGAAGACTATGCCCAATTTGGAACTACTCAATCCTGGCAACACGCTTTCCCATCGTATTATGCTAATATCCAATGCATGTCCTATTATACCTATAGGTTCCTCGATATTCTTACGTATGTGCTGCCTTATCAATTGCCCCAAATCGTATGTTCTGTATAGTCGATTGGCCGTATTTGATACGCTATATATGTCAAGTATCGAGGATTTTGGAACTGTAACTGCAACAAAATTCCCACATTGCGATGGGGCACTCATTCTCCCTCCAATTACTCTACCGGGGGACATATTTCTCTTCTTTGTACCTACGTTTCTTCTATAGTGGTTCTTTTGTCTATCATAATATCTATAACTGATACTGACACAAAATCACCAAATTAAAATCATAACAAAAAACCATAAAAACAAAAACAATCAACATACAGGATATTCTTCATCTACGATAGGGTCTTTCATTAAAACTACATCAAAATAAGACAGATTAAGTCATAGGAGACTTGAGTATGGGTCCGAAGAAGAAGCAAGTATCCAACAAACTGGGTACTGCTCCAAAGAACGTTAAAAGTAAGGCTGGTACAACGAATAATAGGAAAACATCAAAGAAGTCTAGTGTATCTCCAGACACGAACAGAAGGAACAAAACAACAACAAATGATTCAGAATCGGACAATGATAGTGATTTTTACTCAGGAAATCTGCAAAGTCAGCCAAGCCAATTGTTGCTTGGGAGGAAAAACCGGTTAAATGATTTATTAGCATCATCACAAACATCACACACAAATAATGCAACCCAGAGCAGACCTAAAGGTAAGAAAGGAGGCAACCGGGCTAAGGGGAAATTTGAAGAGGATGATGGTTTCATATATAAGAGGGACCAGGAAAATGATAAAACTAAAAAGCGAAAGCCTGTTAACTCGCTCATATCACAATTGAGGGAAGAAACGAATCAAATGACCAATGATGACGGTTTGCGTCACTTGGACTTGGAAGAGCCCTCGAAGAAGAAAACCAAAAAGGAAACGAAGTCAACGAAGTCAACGAAGTCGACGAAGTCGGCGAAGACAAACGGGAATAAGGCAAAAACCAATACAGAGCCAAATGGTGTATCCAGAAGACAAGCAACGAAACGGAAGTCCAATTTTCATGATGATTCGAGCTTGCAGTTATCATCGCCAATAAAATCGCCGAATTATGAAAACTTTTATGGTGCATATTCATCTGACGAATACGAGGAGCAGGTATCGCATCTCAAGATGAACTTGGAGGACTCGGATACTGCCAGAACGAGAAACCAGAAGGCACCAAATGCTAAAAATAAAAGAAGAGCATCATATCATAATAGAGGAAAGAGAGTGCTGTCTATAGGAAACGGATTTGTTGGAGTTCCTCATGAAGATGTACCTACAAGCGACTATTATAAGCTCTTGGATACGTCTTTGCCTGAACCCCACAGGATGAAGCAGTTATTAATATGGTCCTTCAAGAAGAAATTGGACCAGGAAGAAAAGCTGTCAAGAACCAAGTCAAAAACTGAGACTACTGAAGACCAGACTGTTATTAATATTGCCAAAGTCATCAAAGAAGAAGTATTACGAGATTTGATAGAGGGCCAAATTTCCATCAGTTGGTATAATCGTGACGACAATGAAGATGAAACGAACGATAACATGCTAACAAACAAAGAAGTCACATTGCCCAATCCCCTTAATATCACCAATGAAGAAAATATTGAAATCTTCACTAAAAAATTAAAGTCATTAAAACAAGAAAGATCGCAATGGGAATCGTCGTTTAATAGATCGACAAGCCATATACCGAACCTTAAAATTGACGCAAACCAAAACGAGGCTGATTTACAAGACTATTGTCAAATAAGAAGCGAAACTCAAGATAACTCAGTAGATTTCAATTCGACTGTCCTTAACAATTCCCTTGCAGACAAAATTAACAATAATTACAATGACGTTAACGAAAACATTCCTCATGATGTGGAGACGTCCACAGATAAGCTATTCGATGCTTCGTATCGCTTATCTCAAGCTCGTGATTTAATTGCAAAATTGCAGAGTGACAAATTAAACGATAAAGTATCATCCCTAGTACAAAACTATATGACCAAGCATCTCCGTGAATCTCTGTCTCCAGAAACTTCATCGTGGCCCGTACCCAACAGAATAATCACTACCAAGGAATTACTCAGAGGAATTACAAGACTTGATGACCCTGGAGTCAGTCAAACTGATTAGATTATTCGTTCATGTTCGCAGTCGCATCAGCTGTAATCTCCATGTTCCCCGTTTCCATTCCTAGTCCTAGTGGTTCAGAATACGGCATGTTTATCGTATACTTCTGTGATCCGT